ATTCTTCAACTTGTGGTACCAGTGTCTCCTAGACCAATTGAAATATGCCACAGTAGTGAGGGGCAAACAACTTAATAAATACTTGCATTTTAACAACTGAGCAACCACTTAAAAAGATAATGCACATAAGTTCAGGCAATATAATAATTTCTTTTTTTTTTTCTGCATAAATAACCCACAGTGACTTACTAAAGGGGATTTGTGTGCCTGCTGGGTAATGCACAACTTCTCAAACCAGAAACAGATTGGACACTGCTAACTTTAATTCCTGTTTCACATCGATTTTTGTGTAATATGTGGTTTTTATCACAGCATCCACTGAAGACTTCCCTTAACAAAGATGCGGCATGGCTGAAAGTGCAAAAACATAGCTCAACGTTTTGAGAATATCCCTGAAAGGAATATAAAGTTTTCTCATGTCAAAACTGTGAAGTACCTCAAGCTATTTGGTTGTGTGGTGTCCAACAGATACATAGTATTGCTTGTGTTTCCTTTAAACATCGACAGTATCCCACAGTGCCTTTGTGAGTTTACTGCGATGCCCTGGGCCACCTCTGCACACAGTTTGTGAATAGGGGGCTAAATAGATCCTAGAGAGTATTGAGACTGAGTAGAAACTTGAATGATATTATAGATCCAGGACCACTAGAGCTCCTTTATTAGGGAGGCAACAACAGAAGTAATAGTTGATAAAAATTTTCCCCCCAAAATGACTGAAGTCAGAGAATTGAATTCAAACACTTGGTGAGGACTTAGTAAGTGTGATTTGGTAGTGAAAATAGAAAGTTAGACAAGAAGCATTTCAATAGAATAAGATTGAGACTAATTCGATATAAATAACACAGTGAAAAAAATATTATGTTACACCTGTGGTTTCTAATTAAAAAAGAGAAATAAAGCAATTGGCCTGACCCAATCATGGAAGTTGGGAAAATAATGAAGTTTGTTTCCTGGGAAGATCCAGATAATAAGATTAACTGGGTATGTTGAGTGTTTGAGATGTTATTAAACAATCACTCAGTACAGGACTGTTACAGGCTGAACTGTATCCCTGCCCCCCAAATCCGTATGTTGAAGTCTTAACCCCCAGAATCTTAGGATGTGACTCTTTGGAGAAAGGATTTTTAGAGAGGTAATTAAGTTGAAATGAGGTAATTAGAGTGGGTACAATTTGATACGACTGGTGTCTTTTTAAAAGGAAGAAATTAGAACACAGATGAACACAAAGAGAAGACCATATGAGGACATAGGGTAAAGATGGCCATCCTCAAGCCAAGAGGAGACACTGCAGAAGGAACCAGTTCTGCTGACACCTGGATCTCAGATTTCTGTTGTTTAAGCTACCCAGTCTGTGGTATTTTGTTATGGGATCTTGAGCAAATTAATATAGGGACACAGCACAGGACAGAAGATACCAATTGAAGAACCAGGTATAAACATAATTAAATCCACTGGAGAGAAATAGAGTCAATAAGAAAGGGTAGCCAAAAGGGAGTAAGAGTCTTGGAGACATCCATCCACAGAGTATAGAATAAGAAAGAAAAATGTATCTACAAATGAGACAGTGGTATGACCAAGACAGAGGAAGGAGTATCACGGAAGTTTGGTGCAATAGAAGACAAAGGAGTCGAGAATTTTAAGAACAAGTACATGCCACATAGAGAGTAAGAATAAAACTGAACCAAAGGTCCGTTAGTGGTTGCTAGGTAGAATTGATAAATGACCTTTCAAGAAACTCTTTTAATGGAGTCCTAAGGGTGAAAGACAGGATGCAGTAGGTAAAATAAAAAAGGTTGGCTGGGTAAGAATAAAGAAAATGAGTGCAATATCCTATATCTCAGAGTTTGACAGTGAAACTAATAAATAACCATAGATAATAGATAGAGGAAACAATAAAGTCAGTTGATGATTGGCAGCCCTGTGCACACTGGATTTGATGGAGAGATTGAAGATTGGGATAATGAAGGGATTATCGGAGAGTGGGAAAGCAAGGATGTAGAAGAGCGAAGTGAAGGTGACATTTGGAATATGGAGTGGTGGATAGATGGAGAACCAGCAGAGACTTCTTCATCCAAAGCTATAGGAAAGGACAGTTTATGCTCTGAATATTCTCACAGGTTTTTCCCCAAAATCCCAATATCCCTCAGAAAAGAAGATGCTGTCTTATAGTTGACTCATTACAAAGACTTTCATATAATGGTATGTACTTGTTGGGAAAGACAACTTCTAAACTGTGGGATGGCATCTTAAGCAATCCTTTTTGAAAATTAATTAAATAAGTACTTGACTAAGCTGTGATATAGAAATGGCCCTACACCTGGGTGGCTCAGTTGGTTAGGCATCTGCTTTCGGCTCAGGACATGATCCCAGGGTCCTGGGATTGAGTACCAAACGGGGCTCTCTGCTCAGTGGGGAGTCTGCTTCTCTCTCTCCCTCTGACCCTCCCCCCTGCTTGTGCTCTCTCTCTCAATAAATAAATAAATAAATATCTTTTAAAAAAAAAAGAAATGGACATAAATATAACAGCTTTAGAGTGAAAGAAAAAGACAGTAATTCTAATACTATGGAAATGGGTATTTGTGACATGGAGAAAAAACCAACATCATCATCATATACCTTTTTAAAATGGTCTGTTTCCACATAACTTAGGTGGAAGTAAAATGGATTCACTCATGAAAATTTTTAGATAATTCAAAAACTGATTTTAACAATACCTTAGTATAAGTATCAAAGATGCATGGAAGAGTTGGGGAAAATTTGCATTATGAAATGTGAGTGAAAAGTCAAGTTTTCATTTTTATTGCTATTATTATCATAAGCCCTCAGAAGAATAGGTTGAATTAATTCTACTCCTTAGTTCATGTTTTATGTTATGATCTGCAGAAAGGCCTTTTCTTTTTCTATGTTTGTTTGTTTTTCCCATTTCCATCCTCATTCTTCTCTCATTTTATATGTTATTTGACTTTATAATTATTATGAGTAGGTATGGAAACAACATAAACAAATGAAATGTTATAACAAATCAAACCTTTTTCTATTTCATCTAAAGTCTTAAAAGCTTGGATATTCTGAGGCACCTGGGTGTCTCAGTTGGTTAAGTGTCTGACTCTTGATTTTGGCTCAGGTCATGATTTCAGGGTCATAGGATCAAGTCCCCAGTCCAGTGCCAAACTCAGGGCAGAGTTTGCCTGAGATTCTCTCTCTTCCTCTCCCTCTGCCCCTCCCCCATGCACAGGCGCACATGCTCTTGTGTTCTCTCTGTCTCTCAAATAAATCTTAAAAAAATAAAACCTTGGAATTCAAATTACATTCGCTTTGGCTTTTATGAGCAAAATAGGCATTACCTTTCATTCTGAGTTCCTCCCATTTGTGTAATTTTTAAATTAAGAGACTATGAATTAAAATTGATCTTTTTTCCTTTTTTTTAGGGAAACATATTCCCCAAAATAAATAAATAAATACATAAAAGCTTGTAGTCCACATTTTAAATGATCAAAATATATTTGGAAGCTCAAAAGTTTTGCAACATTATAGTTCTATATCCTGGTGTTTTTCCCAATCTCCATCTGTAGGTCCTACTAAATATTTTTAGTGCAGAAAATTCTAAACAGTTCAGTCTTTAAAATATGTAAGGCATTCTTTCCTGCTGCCTCTCTAGATTCTTCTCATTGAGAAAATGGTCTGGCTGATTTTGAACAAATATGCAAAGTAATATTTAGGATGCTTATCTTAATAGAACCAAAAACCTTTTTCATAGATTCACCCTTCGTTACTCACAATAATGCCAAGTGCTATAGTCCAGGCAGATATTTATTATTTTATATATGCAAAGACCTTAGAGTAGGGCTATTTCTCAGGGGAACAGGGGAATAAAAGTTTTCTGAATTCTAGTTCCTCATAGAGCTCCATGTAATGAGCTCTTGGAAGACATTGCAGAGCTGTCATTTGAAAACCCTGTTTAATCAGCCATGGCAAGCTATGTGCCATTCCCTATGGAGCAACTCCGAGAGGAATCCAGGTTCCTCCTCCTCCATCCAGTGCATCGCCGGGAATTGCTTTGTGGTCAGGGTCTGCAGTAAGAGGCTACAGAGAGCCAGCAGCTGCAAAGCTGGGGCTCTGTGTGTCAGCATGGAGGAAACAGCGGAATACAAATCATCAGCTTTGTTTTATGAATGTCTTTATTTACAATGCTAGAGTGGAATTTTTTAAAAAAGGACTGCAGTATTTGCATCGAGTCTGTCACTCAAGTTCCAATGTTGATTCCTGTCCTATAAATGATCTTGCTTCCCTATTTTTTTTCCTTTCTACAAGGTTACTCTCAATGTCAGAAGATGTAAACCTCAAGCATCCATTTTATGTGGCTTGGCATATAGAAGTTTATTTAATGAAAAGGAATAATAACATTCATTCCAACTAAGCATATTTGATTGCACAGGGAAAAGTGTATCTTCTTTGGGAATTTTGATTGAATTGTATCATAATATAAAATTTGCTGCCATTCTTTTATTTTGCTCTGACCCACAACATTTCCCCGTTTAGCTTATAGTCTATGTAAAGTTACTGTCAAATGGAGTGATGTCTTTGTTGAAAGTGTTCAGACCAACAAAAAGTGAGTGACCCTCAGGGATGGGTAGAAATCTCCCAATTTTGACGAAGATTCTTCTCTGCTTGGGAATTGTAAAGCTCAAGTTATAGATGAGGAAAATGACAGAGGGGCTGTGTTTGGTTTCACAGAACTTAATCTATTTCAGCAAGCCTGCAATACTGGGGAAAATAATACATGAATTTATATTTATGTCAGGCTTGCTGTTGATGGGTAAGGTTCGTATAAAGGTTACTGCTAAAGAAATGTCTGTCATTCTCACTCTGCACTCTTGTGATTTCTGTTTCTTTCAAATCCTACCCTCTAGAGCAATAAAATGATTTTAAAATGATAAGTGAAATATGATTTAATAGCCCATCTCCTGTCTTGTAATGATTACGTATCTCCTCTCTTGTAGCTTACCGCAGCTGGAGGACAATTGACGTTTACCATATCATATGACTTCGAAGAAGAAGAAGAAGATACAGAACGTGTACTCCAGATTATGGTTATCTTAGAGGTAGAGTATGGAGCAGATCATTTATGTTCAACTATTTCACACTCTTAAGTTATTCCTTACCTGATTGATTTGACATTAATTTACATATGACTTAGGGAATATTATATCTTGGGAAATTTTTTTATGCCCGTCTTATGTTTCACCCTGAGAGATATCTAAAAGACTGACCATATTCATTAAGTTCCAGTGATAACGGAGATCTTTAGACCAGACTTGGACTTTAAAATAAAAACATATTGACCATATTCCCAAGAATATAAGTATGATGAAGTATTTAGGCAAATGCTGATTTACATAGCTTAATTTTTTCCATCTCCTCTTGCTTCCAAGTAGATTTTATGGTCTACTTGACAGATGCAAATGAAAAAGGAAACTTGTTTATTTAGGTGTAGTTAAATCTTGACTTCAGAGCTCTTAATTTAGATAAGAAAGATATAGGAGAAACGGCTTTCAGGATTTAGGGGGCCATGGACAATTCCAAAATGCTGGAGGCCTAAAGATATCTTAGAGCCTCGCCCCCTTTTCTCTTCCTCTTCCTCCAATACTCAAGACAATCTCAAAGGCACACACTTGCATGCACATTTGTGATTCCAAATAGGTTGATGTTGATTTAGCACCGCGCTCAATAGGTTGATGTTGATTTAGCACTGCACTCTGTTGTTCTTTGCCTTAAACCTTTCATGCATGTGAATCAATGACAAAATTCTTCCCCCAGCATACATATTTCCAGTATTAAGTGATCGGGATGATCTGGTTAAGGCCAACAGTTAATTTGCCTTCTCTTACTTCTGTATATACCAGAAATATACTGAACGAAAGGAAAGCCAACCTGTAATTAAAAATCTACTGAGGATAATTCACCAAATGGCAAATCCAAATATGCAACCTCTTTACCCTTTTATACCTTCTTTTCACAGTTTTACCCTTTTGTACTTTCTTTTCCCCTTTAGGGAAATGACTTGAGAATCAGCACAGCCCAAGATGAGGTGTATCTGCAACCGTATGAAGAACATATTCATGTACTGTCACTTAAAGAAGAATTGTTTACCATACATGGCACAAATTTCCCTGTCAGTAGAAGAGAGCTGATGACAGTGCTTGCGAATTTGAAGAGAGTCCTCTTACAAATCACGTACAGCCTTGGGATGGATGCCATCTTCAGGTAAACTCAAGAACTGCATCTCCCGGTGTTCCCGCACTTCCTCTGGAGCAAATGTGCATGCGGTAGAAGAGTGACTTTGAAGATCTGTAGGTTTCCTTCAAATAGTAGATAAGAATCGAGCCCTAGTTTTCCAAAAAGCATTTCTGTTAAAACTTCAAAATTTAAATACCCAGAAGGAATGTGTCTTAGCCCTTTTCTAGTATTGAGAATTCCTTCGCAGTTTGACCAGAGCATGTGATAAAAAATGATCCGTATTCTGAGAAATTCTGTACTGGAAAATAAAATCTCCATTATGCTGACTCAGATTGTGGGGAACTAAAGAGGCGTAACTCCAGGGTAGTCATATTCGGAAAGTAGTTTGTATTTTCTTCCCTTAATTAATTAACGTGTATCTAACTTAATAGTATATAGTTCGTAACAAGAAATATAAGCACCTTCATCTAAATAATCCCAAGTCTCTTTATAAAAGACTAGGATGGCTGTGTGAGGTAAAGGAAAGAGTATGAGCTTTGGAGCCAACCTAACTCGGAATTCTGAGTTCAATTCCTTATTTTATGTGTGACTTTTGACAAATGATTGGTCCTTGTGGAAACTTGGTTTCTTCAAGTGTAAAGCAGAGATTATAGTGTCTACCTTTCAGGGTCATTGTGAAAATTATATGTGATAATTATGGAAAGTGCTCATTAATTGGAACTGGTTGTTTTCCATTTTTTTTCTTTAAAGAGAGAACTTTTGACTGGAACCAAACATGCTCATATCCAACTAACTGTAGGCTGCTGTGCTTTTCATTTTAAAAACAGTGATGTATTAGTCCAGTGAAATGTAAACTTCAGCTATGTCTGAATGAGCTTTTTTCCCCTTCTGCTTTTCTGCTCTAATAATAAGCACAAGCTAGCACGGCAACGTCCCCCCTAAATGAGATTAAGTTAGATGATGAAACATGACCCAAAACTGACAACGTGACATATTCAGAATCAAAGGAATGTCTCCAATACTGGTTTATCTACAGAAGGATTTTTTTTTTTTATGCTGATGCTCCCCCACCCCCATCATTTGCTTGTGCTGCTGCCTATTTTGTCTTTCACTTGTGCCATTTCAACTAAGTGTAATCATCATTACCATCTCCCAAAGGAGGGGACTCAGATTCATAAACAGAACTATTGTCAAACAGTGTACCTCTTTTGCATAGGCAATTCTGCTAGAAGCTGGGTTAAAATGCCATGAAGATGTGAAGCAGCACTTAGGAATTAATTATGTTTTCTCCCATTTAGTAAATAGAGGTTGTCATGATGTTTAAACAGTACAGAGAGATGAGTCCTCTGGCTTTCAATGTGAATGACAACCAAATTGACAAAAAGTGGCTAGGGGGCTTATTTATTTTTGTCAGCCTTGCTTCTCAGACTAGTTCATCCAAAGGCATTTCCTCCTGATTAATGTCAGATAATTTCAGTGTCTACCTATCAAAATCATCGTTTTCATTTGAAGCCTTCCAAAGTGTTCCCCTATATGAGTGACTTGTTCACAGAGCAAGGGTATGGGAACGACACTGGAGATAATCCAAGTAGGTGGCTGCTTTCTGCAGCCTAAGTTACCTAAAGTACTGTCGTTCTAGAAGGAAAAGCCAGTGTCAGATTTGAAACTCCTACCCGTTTCAGGTAAGCAGAAAGTCAGCATAAATCCTGACTCTGTGAACTTGTTATATTTTATTTATCTCTGATCTACAAGTGGATTGAATCATATTTGTAAAACATCACTTGAATTGATTTCAACTTGTCTTGCACAGTAGGCTTCCGACCTGGCATCCAGTTTGTATGTAAGCACAAGTAAATTGAGGCTATCTCCACAAAACTTGGTGTTTTAGTTGTATTTAAGGAAGATTTACTTCTATGGTAGTTCTCAGCACGTGGACCTCGCTTCCTCCAGCTGTGTGGTTAGATGCAGATGAATAGTTGAAGGAAAACTAGGCTGTGGGTCAGGATTTTGACTTCTGTTTTCAATTCAGCTATTTAATAGTTGTAAACATAAGTGTAGCTTTGACCTCTTTGAATTTCAATCACCTCGTCTATGAAATACGGAGGAGGACAATTGCCTTGCCAACTTCAAAAGGTCACCATGAGAATAGAATTAGAGGGCTGCAAAAGCATTTTGCTAATGGCAAATAGGCACACAAAAGGAAGCATTTCTACCTGACCTTAGTCACTGCAAGCAACACCATTTTCTCCAAGTACCATTAAGACTTTGGAGACATGGAGGATAAAGCACATAGTGATAGTTCCAAAATGGTGACAATTTTTGCTGTCATTCTTTTCCAGAATGCTGAGAGGCTCACACAATAAAATTGATTTTTTTCTCATTGCCCTCATTGGGAAGATGAAAACAGAAAAATTTTATCCTTCTATTAGAAATAGAAATCAACTTAATCAAATCATACATCTTTCTCCTCTAAATTCTCTAAACATTAGCTTTACTAGCACCCTTGATATTTAACTCAAACAAGGAGTCTGTTCAGCTTTTCTTAAATATCAATTAGGTATAAACTCTGCAACTTTTTTTATTTTACCTTATGGCAGACATTAGTTCAATTCATCAAATTTCCAATCCCCTCCTTTTTTATTTTATTTTATTATTTACTAATTTATTTTTAAAATCTTCATTGAAGTATAATTGACATATTATCATTAGTTTCAGGTGTATGACATAGTGATTCGACAATTACATACATTACAAAACGCTCACCTTGGTAAGTGTAGTTACCATCTCTCACCATACAAAGTTATTGCAATAATATTGACTATATTCCTGATGCTGTACTTTTCATCCCCATGACTTATTTATTTTATAATTGGAAGTTTGTACCTCTTAATTCCCTTCACTTATTTTGCCTATCCCCTACTTCCCTCCACTCTGGCAACCCCCATTTGTTTTCTGTATTTATGAGTCTGTTTCCATCTTTGTTGTTGTTTGTTTGTTTATTTGTCCCTTTGCTTTGTGTTGCAGATTCCACGTATAAATGAGATTATATGGTAGTTACCTTTCTCTGTCTGACTTATTTCACTTAGCATAATACCCTCTAGGGCTTTCCATGCTGTAACAAATGGCAAGATCTCATTCTTTGTTATGGCTGAGTAATATTCCATTGGTATATATACCACATCTTCTTTATCCATTCATTTATTGCTAGACACTTAGGTTGTTTGCATATATTGACTGTTGTAAATAATGCCGTAATAAACATAGGGTGCATACATCTTTTTAAATTAGTGGGTTTTTTTTTCCCTTGGGTAAATACCCAGATCCAAACTCCTCCTTTTGTTATATTACATTTCCCTAACCTCTGAGGGTCGATGTGGTCATATGACTTAGTTTGGCCAATGATATGTGAGAAGAAGTGATTTGCCCTGCCGCCCCTCCACCCCCACCCACACACACAAGAAAAGCATTGAATTGCCGGTTTGAGACTCTCTGGAGCTTATCCACCTACAAGAAGATAAAAGTAGCCTGAAGTATTGACAGCATATAGAGGTCAGCTGCCCTAAACAGTCACCCAGAACTGTGGAGGATTTTACATGAGTAAACTTTTTGTTTTCATTAAACCACTAAGAATTTGGAGTTTGTTACCACAGCGTAACTGAGCCCCCATCATGACTTTATCGTGATATACCCCATTGTGTCTTTATTGCTTGAAAATGAATTCAGAATCATTTCAAGGCAAGGTATGTTCATATGGGTTTTTAGAGTAAATGTGTGTTGGGGGTTTGCACCAAAAATATTACACAGAATTTATGGAATAAATAATCTAGAAAAACCCTTGTAAATGAAGGAGTCTCTTGATGATTTTAGTAATAGTGTTGAGAGATGTATGATATGCATCTACCTTTTGAAATAAATGAAACAGGTAACTGTATTTTGAAGAAATTATACTGATAAAGCCTTTAAAACTTAAAAAAAAAAATCTTTTTTTTTTTTCACTAGTTGGGCTAGTGAGCCCAACTCACTAGGCATTGGGCTCTTGGTAAGGGGTTTAAACCCACCTGTTTTTCCTCCCTATTGCCTTTGACTACCTGCCAAATCAATTCTGTAAATATTGGATTCATTCAGTCTGCCACCATTTCCTGAGTGTCTCTCTCTCTCTCTCTCTCTCTCTCTCTATATATATATATATCTTTCTAAATCTCAGTCTCCTCTTCTGTAAACTGGCAGAAAAATTACTAACTTTCAAGATGGAAGACTAGGTGAGAAAATGATGTACCAAAAAACACCTGATATGCTATCTAGCAATATATTGGGAGGCAAGGTAGGGTCACAAGATGATCATTGGTTTTGGGTTTGAATCTGTGCTGCACTATTGGCTAACTGTATTATATTGGACCCAGCACTTCTCTGAGTCTCAGGTTCTTCATTTGTAAATGTGGACAATAACACGATTACCACACTGCATTCGCTCATAGTTAAATGAGATGTCTGTCAAGCCCCATTATAGTACACAGATGATAGCAGACACTCCGTAAGCAGTAATTATTATGATGTGGTCGTTCTAGACTAAGCAAAAAGTACAATGATGGATAAATGATCACTGAATTAAAGAAAGACATACTCCGGGATGGAAGGCAGACATGTGCATTTATGGTAGTATAAGAAATAGTGCATTAGAAATGTACACAGTACATACTGGTAGAGCTAAGAAGAAAGAGATGAATTATCATATTAGCATTTAATATAATGTTTGTGAATGGCTTCAGTGGTATCCGATTCTCTCAGTTATTTCCCTTACTAGATGGGGAATTAAAAATAATTGTAGGAAATGTCTAGTTCTTGTTCAGATGGCCCACTCAGACATTACCTGGGCCACTAAATAATTCTTTGCCTTTTTAGGAGTGGAGTAACATTTATCCGTTCCCGCTGAGCGGGATGGATGGAACTTCCACAAGGTAGAGACTACGGGAAGTTCTGAGTCATCATCTTGGTTTGACAAAAATGAAATAGAACAAAGCACCTGAAACAGCAAAATAAAATCTTCATCTCTGGTGGCTAACCCAAAGTAGCATTTGTTTAAGTAGAATTAAATGGATGCCTTCAACAGAAAAAAAGATAGGAAAAAAAAATTTTTATAATAGTTTTATGATCAAAGTTCTTATTGTTTCAAAGAATATTTTATATATTATTGTTATTATTATCTTAGCAAAGCTTAACCTATGTAAGTCTGGTAGAAATATAGTGAAACAAAAATATTGAGAACAATCTTTAAGTCAGTACCAGGACAATACTTCTGATATGATTCTAATATTTTCAGTACAAGCTTATATAGTTATGTCTTTTCTCTTCATCATCTTATCCATATTTCCAAGTCATAAGAATAAGGGGAAATAGCCAGCTAAAGCATGTGACTTAGTTGACAAATCTTTGATAGTTCATGCACTTCTAAAATTTAGTACCTTATTACTATCAGCATTATGTATTTAAATGAATTCAGCCTGGTATCAAGTAAAGAACGTGTCTATATTGAAGGGGGGGGGAAACTGCAGCCTTCTTTATGAGTAACACTTAAAACTGTTAAACACATTAAAATCCCATTTACCAACAGCAGAACCTGATGAACATTGGGTCTGCTCAGTGAATACTAATGTGGGATATGACTGGGAAAGATGTTTGAATGTTGAAATTAACTCAAAATGGTTACACAGATTAAGGAGAGGAACATCTGTTGTTCAAAAGACAAATGAAATTTGGCAATTCATTGAAAATATTTTTGTTTTTGTTTTGTTATATTTTAAATTGTTCCTTAAAGTAGTCAATTACTCACTTTTCTATTTTGAAACATTCCAATACTTGATTTTATATTGAAAATCCTGGGACTATATACACAATTGACCAGTCTGCTGTTTAGTAAATTGTGACAGTCTTTTATGTGGTAATAAACTAGTATAACAACCCTGAAATCATCTAATTCTGAAATTAAAGTGATCAGAAATCTAAGTGAATCTTGTAACAGTCCATTAATTGCAGGCAATAACATGTCACAATTCATTCAGATGAGTTCTGACTTCTGACCTCAAGTTCTAACTCTAACATTTTTCAATTTATTTATTTATTTATTTTTTTGCCAGATCAAACAAGTAATTTGTCTTTTACTTAGCTGACTTTATTTATCTGGAATGTAGACACTAGGCTTCAGTGTATCATTTGTTTGGGAGTATGTTAGTCGGTGTTTATAACTACATTCCATTCACCTATTCATTTACCTATCCATTCATCTATTCATGCATGTATGTTTGTGTATGTAGTCTTGTATCCGTTCATTCATCTATCCATCTATCCATTCATCCATCCAACAAAAATTTATTGAGCATGTATTGAGATGATCTGGCTAGGTACACAGATGACACAGTAGGGTTTTGTGAGAAGTAGCTCATAAGCTCACGTTGACACAAGCAAGTACTCTCCTTAGTAACTCAAACCCTATGCTGTGGTGTATTCATACAAAAAATACTACTCAGCCATAAGAAGGAATGATGTACTGATACATGCTACAACATGGATGAACTTTGAAAACGTTATACCAAAAGAGAGAAGCCAGACACAAAAGGTCATGTATTGTATAATTCAATCATTTATATGAAATATCTAGAATTATCCATGATAAATCCGTGGAGACAGAAAGCAGATTCATGGCTCACCAGGGGCTGGGAGAAAGGCCAGAATAGGAAGTGACTGCTTAATAGGTATAGGGTGTTCCTATGGGCTGATGAAAATGCTTGGAACCAAACAAAGGTTGTAGCTGCACAACATTGTGAATGTACTAAATGAACACGTTAAAATGGTTAATTTTATGTTATATGAATTTCACCCCAATGGGAAAAAAAAAGGAGTTGCCAGTGATACTTCCTGTACAATTTTATTTGATGGGGGAAAAAATGACCTCTTAGAGATTTTCCTAAAAATCTCTATGTAACCTGAACACTGTAAAAGAGTGATTTTTAACACTTACCATTTTAGGACCTTCTATTAGGTTGTACAGACTGTACCCCCAGAGAAGAAAGCATTCAAGAAGTAGTGTTCAATGAATTAATCTGTGGCTAAAGATAAATTCCTTATCTTTAGAAGATGTCAGTTAGTACTCAGCACCTGGGATGATCCCATCCAATTGCCTTGGTTTTTCTTTTCAACTTTTTGGTTATGTCTGAGGTCATATACATTCCAAGGTACTATCAAGTGTCTAGGATTAGTAAAGTAAGAGTAAAAACAATAAAGATTTTAATGTATTTTTTTTTTAATTTTAAGTAGGCTCCGTGCCCAACGTGGGGCTTGAACTCACAACCCTGAGATTAAGAGTCTCATGCTCTATTGACTGAGCCAGCCAGCTGCCCCAAAACAGTAATATTTTGAAACTTATTAGCTAAAAAGCTTACAATTTGGTTAAAGGTTGTTACTTTTGAAGATACATTAAATGAGCCCATTAGCTTTGTTGTCTGGATTGATTACAGCATGGATTCCCAAATCTTGGAAACTCCTTGATAAATGTAAATCACCGATTAATAAAAATCTACTACCACTCTTTTGGAAAGCAACTGAAAATGCAAGAGTTGGTTACATCTTTCTTATGGTTAAAGGATGGCATATAATATTGTGTTAGGGGAGGTTAACAATCATTTTAAGAAACAATACTTACCACTAGTCAATAGCAATCAATTAATTTTGTGCCCCTAGAGTTTATTTTAAATTTGTTTTAATATATTAAAATGGCAAGAAGCTAGATTTGGAGATTCAAGTAGTATTTCTTGTAGTACTCATGTAGAAATTTTCTATCTTGTCTCACAGTCAGTGAGAATAATGTTAATAAAATGCCTACTATTTAATAATCACCTACTATGTGTTATATATATGAACTTTATCTTCATTATTTCATTTAATTCTTTAATCAAGCTTATGATGTATGAACTCTTATATAATCTTCACTGCATAGAGGAGAATACTGAGACCTAGAGAAATTAGTAATTTTTTCTAGGCCACAGGACTGGTAAATGTCAGAGACAGGATATGAATCTTCGTCTGTCTGACTCCCAAGTCTGTGTTGTTAACAATGAAGCTTTTAAAATTTCTTTTATGAAAAAAAATGGGAAAAGCCAAGAAGACACAAATAACATTTAATTAAATTGTTTTAAGTTTTCATATTTTTGGAAGGAAATACATATGGGAAATACATATACATGCCAACCAAGGCAAATATAACAGCATTTTTCAATTTGGCCAAACCAGCTTCTCCCCAAAATAATGAGTGACACCGAGTCACTGCTAAAATCACTGGATTATACAGAAGTGCTGGTAAAAATGAAACCCATAGATACAGAGAACAATGCCTTCAATTTAGGCCAAAAACAAATTAAGAAAATAGTTCTAAGTAATTCAACTGAGAATTTGAAAGTTTCACTTTTACCTACCAATGTACAGATTTGTTTCTGAGAAAAAAGAAATCAAAATAGCTTCCTTTTTTTTTTCCTTCCATCTATCCTTCCAATTTAAATCCTCAAGCTTGTGTTAACAATGTCTTCTTTTGATTTCATAGTTTAAATGTTAAAGTGAGTCAGTCATGTGAATGTTTTCTGTTTTAAAAATACCTTCAACTATGCTATTTTAAACTCTCTCCCCAAGAAAGGAAATCAAAACACATAGCCAAAGCCCAAGAAGTGAACAAAAATATTCTCCTATCTTTTCAACATTTGATGTTGTAGTGGTGGTGAGCACTTTTCACTGGACAGATTTAATGAATGACCAGAGCTTCAAGTTATGGATATCTGTTGGGCGTTTACCTATATTTACATTCTTATTGCTACACTATTTCTCAAGCTATTTACCATCTCTTTTCCTTCCCACTGTAGGTTAGGCTCTGTTGGCCTTGAATCCGCGGTCCCCTATCCTACTGACAGAAGCCTTGCAGCAGCTGTGGAGGTTTGTCAATGTCCTCCCGGGTACACTGGCTCTTCTTGTGAAGTAAGTTTGCAAGAATAAATCCTCAGCGCATTCCAAGTTCCTTCCACATTGCTTTCAATACGCCGTTTTAAAAGTAGTTTAGCTCTTCCATCAGTGATTGCACAAATAAATGATAGTGTTTTCCTTGAGGAAGAAACTTGAGTGTCTGCCAAAATTCGTGGCTTTCAAATAGAGTGCTACTCACATTATGTCATCTTGAAATTATGTTTCTGTTCTGGATATTTTTACTTTACGACAGCTGAAAATCTGATATTTTCCTAAGTGTGTATTTCCTATTTAATTGGTTGATAAAATAAGATGAATGATAGCAGAATAATATTTAATATTTCAAAATAATTTCCCTTCATTTCTGTCTCTGTACTTACCAGGAGTTAGCACTTTTTCCCCCCCCTTTCCTCCGGTTTTGAATGTTGTGTATCACACTCTTTCTCTACTTTATTTCTAAGAATACCAAACTGCAAGTATCTGAAGGATACAATCTTTAAAATGTCAAGAATATAATATATGGCAGAAATACCTTGATCTGGAAAATTTCCTACATGTCTTTGATTTGCTTAATACCTAAAATTTGAGATATTTATTGTTACCCCAATATTCTAGTTTTGTAATAAGATTAACATTTCTTATTTAATACCACAGTGTGTCATTTTAAGGTAATAATTTTCATGTACTTATATGTATGTCTTTTTTTAGGTAGTTTGAAATTGGTTTTACTTGAAACCTGGTCAAAAAATGTAAACACCATTTTCCTGATAGAGGACATAGCTTGCAGATAAATAGGAGCTTAAATTCTTTAAAAATGGTACCTTTAAGGAATCATTTGAGTACACCAAAATGTTCCACTTCAACACACTATCCCATTATGCCATTTGTAGAAATACTCTAGGCATTGCTTTGTCAGTTCTTTCGTACTCTAAAATAGTGTATGCTTTTGGAGGGTACGTGGGATTTAGAGTCATATTCATGACAAATGTGTTTTCTTTAACTAGGCTCAGATTCATCTATCTAGAAATAAAACTAAATGAAATTCGTTGAGACACTTGCTTTTCCAAAATTCATCTAAAGTAGAGAAAAATAATTGTGGAAATAAATTTGTTCTGTCAACCTAAATTTGATTTTACATTTAAAATACATGCTGTATTTGATGAAACATATTCTTTTATTAAGAGCCTACCAGTTTTTTTTCAAGCGAGAAAGCTCCCTTTGAACCTTTAAGTTCCTATTTCAATTGGAATAATAAATACCTTGATTCTGTTTTTTGCTTTAATACTTATCCCCACATTCATTATTCCCTGTACTCTTCTTCATCTTTATGAGTCCCAAACGTCCACTGATATAAAACTGAATATTAGAATTGTTCAGTTGGCTATATGTTTTGTTTATTCTTTCCTCTCTTCAAAAATATTTACTGTGAATCTTTGGTAAATTCTGTACTACATGCTGAGGGGATTATCTAGAAGGTTACATCATAATCCCTGTCCTTAAACAGCTAACAATCTATTTAGGGAGACAGAACAAACACCTATGAAAAATTGGATCACAGCACCATATAATTAAGGGACTGGTAAATGGTACAGAACATAAGTGCAATAATCATTCAAAGAGGTGAGCAGTTCCAGTAGAACACAGTGTCACTGAAAGTATCCCAGAGTGGAAAAACCTCAAATTAGATGCTAAATAATGGTAACAATTAGGTAGGAAGAGAGAAGCATGGAAGAGTCAAAACAAAGAGACAGAGGAGGGAAAATAAAAGCTTCCTGTGATTCTCACACAATAATTGTTTGATAAAATAAAGGTGTTCTGAAGCCCATAATGGAATTTAGTGAATCAGGCAGGAGACAATGAATTCTGGAACTCTGGAATTTCTCTCTGGCTTTTTCATTTTTTCCACTAACAATTCCTTCTTTTCCTCATCAAAACTTCCAATTTTTAGACTTACTATTATTCATTTCTATCCTTTCCTGATTTCACTTGCTTCTTACTGAGTTCATAAAGCCAGTCACGCTAGCTTTGCTATCACCAATATCCGCAGACCACTTAAAAGCTGAGTAAACTACAAAGACCAGAATGTCATAATTCTTGGTTGTCAAAAAACAAGTCAAGCCACTCATTATAATGTCATTCTCTTTTACTTTATTTGGGGTCACAATGTTGATTCGAAATCTTATTTTCTCATTTCTCCCCAACTTCTTATAAATCCCTCCACAGTTTATCTTTCAAATATTTTCTGACTTTCCTAGTACCAGCATAATTCATTTCACTTCACAGTGGGACAGGTGAAGAAGTGAAAGCAAAGTGGGGTAACTGAAAAAAGAAGTATCTCAATTCAAATCTTTGTTTTCTTTTCTATATGATGGGAATAATATTAACCACCTCATGGAAGTGTTCATACATTTTTTTTAGCTAATAGATATTGATAATCATGTATTTTGACACAAGACCCTTGACATGGATCATAAGGTGATGAACAATACAGATATGGTCCCTGCCCTCGAGGACATTACATTTAGTGGTAGGCTAGACAATATGCCAGAGAGCAAATTTAACTAAATGTAATAAATACCATGAAGAAAATTAATAAGATATCTTGATAGAACTACTAAGGATGGGTGTTGGAAGAGTAGATGAGAGGGGCTACTTTATAAAAGGTTGTCAGGAGAGGCTCTCTGAAGTGGTAACATGTAATCTGAGTGTTGAAGGATGAGAAGTGTCACCTCATAGAAGAAGCTGGAAGTGGATGAGGAAGGAGTGGAAAGGAGCTTTTTGGAGTCCGCAAGGACCTGAAAGAGGGCCAGGAAGCCTAGAACTTAGTACGCAAGGGAGAGAGTAGCACAGGATGTGATTGGAAGAGCCGGACCATTCAGAGCTTTGCCTGCATTATAATAATTTGGGATTTTATTCTAAGTGCAACGGAAATTCATGAGAATATTTTAAGGTGGGTAGTACCATGACCTGAGTTTTATTATTTGAAAAAGACTTTATGGCTATAGTCTGAAGAACATAATATAGGAAGGCAAGAATGAGAGGAAGAATAGTTAATATGCTACTGTGGTAGAGCATGCTATTATGGTAGAATATGCTGTTGTGGGGTTTATTTTAGACTAATGGCAGGGATGTAGAAAGATAGGGGTTTACTCTCTATATATTTTGGTAGTAGAGCCAATAGGATTTATTGATAGTTTACACACCAGGGGAGAGTTTGAAGAACTAAGCAGTTTAAGAATGAGTCATCAATTACCAGCTTGAACATTTGGATATGATGTCATTTACTGAGCTGGGGAAAACTGGGGAGGAATAGCTGTGGGGAGAGGACAGAATCAGTAGTCCATCTTAGAAATACTGGGTTTGAAAAGTGTAAATTATAGATGTCAATATTCAGTTAGAATATGCAGGTCTTGAATTTGGAATATCGGTCTGGTCTAGAGATATATATTTGGAAGGCATCATCAACCATGGGACTGAATAAAATTACCTAGGAGAGAGCGTGATGAGAAAGAGAAAAGTGATCAAGTTCCCAGGAGCTCCGGACAATGAGAAGTTGGGTCAAAGCAGAGGAGAAAGCAAAGAGCGAGGGTGGAAATGAGACTGTGATGAGGTGGAAATTGAAAGACGAGGGCATTTGAGGGAGAGAGGAGTCAACTAAGCCATATGTTGATGGGAGGTCAGATAAAGTGCAGTCATAGAATTGTCTACTGGCTTTGGCTACCTGGAATGTGGTGACATAGCCATGGTCAGTTTTAATTGAGCGGTGGCGGCACAAGACAGAGTAGAATGGAATGAAGCATGAGAGGGAAGTGAATGAAAGAATTTTTGGTAGTTATACTGAAAAGAAAAACAGGTAGGTAACTGGAAAGTTATGGGATATTAAGGAAGTAATTTTGTCACTCTCATTAGTTAATTTTCGAGCTGATAGTAGTGATCCAGTAGAAAAGAAAGCTATTACTGATGCGACCCAGAGAGAGAATACTGGAAAGACAACGGATAATGGAATGCAGATTACGAGTATAGTGATACTCCTTTGAGAGGAGTAAGAACCCGCATGCCCCACCACATTGTTCTAGAGGGGAATGTGGCAAATGGAGATATTGCTGATGCTTTTGGACTCGATGAAGATGTGGTATGAGTAGTACATTTGCAGAGTAAAAAGAAAAGCTTACAAATGACAATTCTATGAATATTTGTCCTGAAAACAGTAAATCAGTTCTCTCCCTGTTATCAACACGCTTAATTTCCACCCTTTCTGGGTCTGCCGCTTCACCAGTTTTTAGAAATACATATCACAGAAGGAAATTTCTTCTACAATGAATCTAGGGTGGCAAAAATTTTAATGAGAAATTATAAGAAAGGGATAGAAAATCGACACCTTTTTTGTACTGTCCAAATTAAGAGGGAAGTCATTTTTGCTTTCCTTTCAGATGTGAAGTATCAGCAGACCCTTCTTTTATGTGTTTGTTATTGATGTTCAAATTTAAGAGTCTTCACACCCTGAGGCAGAAAGAACGTTTCCAACAGTACACAACACAACTCTCTACTTTATTACTTCAGTGGTTTCTCTTGTTTCCATTTTCAACTGGAAAAAAAAAAAAAAGGCCTTTTCATGATATATTATGTTATAGTTAATCATCCAGAAATATAATAAATAACCCACAAAATGCAGTTCTAACTTGAGGGAGAACACAAGCTTCTAGAGGGCAGCAGTGTCTGCCCCCCTCAGTTTGCATCCCATACAGTTCCCTTCCCCCACAGAAGGGAAACTTCAAGGCTGACAGTGGACCTAGAATTGGCACTGACACAAAGTTCTTCTAAGAACCGAACGTTTCTTTGAATCAGAATTCCATTTTTTTTTAAAGATTCTATTTATTTATTTGACAGAGAGAGACACAGCAAGAGAGGGAACACAAGCAGGGGGAGTGGGAGAGGGAGAAGCAGGCTCCCCGCCGAGCAGGGAGCCCAATGTGGGGCTCGATCCCAGGACCCTGGGATCATGACCTGAGTTGAAGGCAGACACTTAACGACTGAGCCACCCAGGCGCCCCTCCATTTTTGTATAATACAGTGTTCCACACTGTAAAAAGGGAATGATGAATATAAGTAGAGTTCTAGTAGAATAATGCAATAAAATATCAAGGGAATATGTGGTAAAGAAATCCTGAACTATTTTGTGCCAACTGGAGAAAATGTACAAAGATGCAGGGAATTGAGAAGGAAAGAGGTGACTTCTTTATGTGTAGAAGTCAGATATGTATGTGATCAAATGTAAAAGGGGGGCACTACCTTTCTTCCAAATGATTGCCAAGTGACAGAATTCAGGGCAGTTCTATGTGGGTAAGGGAACGCTTTCCAGAAAAATCGACATTGCTTGGGATGACATTAGGTGCTCTCTTAGGCTGAGGTTCTCTGAAAGTCCTTTTATGTCTGCTGCCCTTTTTCTGTATTTTTCCTTCTCCTTTCCTGTCTGTGCGTTTTACTTTGAGGCTGTCCCATTTCACTTCTTTATATCTCTTCTTTCTTTTACCATTTCAGAAGAGACACCAAGCTAATGCTTCCTCTAATCTCATACCTGCCAGTAATGCTAAGGTCAGTACCAAGTCCCAAGTATCAGGAGGACTAGCTCTGTAGCAATGTTTCAGTAATGGCCGCACTCTGAAGAGCATGTTTGCTGAGCATGCTACCTACATATGTTCCTTTATCTAAAAAAGACAAAAAACAAACTTAAAAAAAAAAATCTCTGAGACTTGACACCTTATCTTCCTTTCAGTCTTGTTGGCCTCGGCACAGACGAATTAATGGCACTATTTTTGGTGGCATCTGTGAACCATGTCAATGCTTTGGTCATGCAGAATCCTGTGATGACATCACCGGAGAATGCCTGGTAAGTGCTTTCTCCTCTGGGTGTGCTGATTGACAAGGCTGAAATCAGCTCAAGAGGCCCTGCAATTCAACTACTACCTGTGGGACAAACACTTGAGGCAAGAAGTGACTTGACAGGGATCTTTATATTGAACTGAGTTGGAAGCCAAGAATGCTCTTTCATATGTGGTCATCCTGACTAACAAGTATTAGGAAATGTTTATCCACAGGAATCTGAGAATTGAATTAGAATTAGATATATCATAATAAAATATAATGCCTGGCTGGGATACCTATCTACCATGAAGATATATGGCTTCAATTCCTTCCATAAATCTATCAAAAAGAGACTGTATTTCTATAACAGGAAATGATTTGTATCCTCATAATATGAAAGTATAAAATATAGTCTTTATAATAGACATAATTCAGTTTTTTCCCACAGTGAAAAAACGAGGTCATGCTGCATGTTTTTTTTTATTTTAAAATTTCAACAGTTAAGTAAAAACAAAGTATCGTATGTAGATTAAAAATAATAAATATATGCATAATTATATGCATAGTCATCAGAGCTGCTTACCCCTTCTGCAATTAAGTTTAAACTTTTAAGCAGAAGAAAAGCTCTGCAGATTCCAACACTTCCCATGCTGCTAAGAAGCCTCTAGATGAGAGAATGTATGCTGCATAGACCATTCTGATGAACTCAAGGGCATGTTCATTTCATATTGTCTGACGTGGCATGAAGCTTGAAACAACACTTCTCATTTCATTAGTCTTGCAGAAACACAATTTGAAACAGTGCCAATTTAGGAGGATATCATATTCTCATTTCCCTGTAGAATTTAAGGCAGACCCTGTTATCTCTATTTCTTAATGTTCTCTCTTCCTGTTAGTTTTCCCTCCTTTTTCGTCCACTTAAAAGCTTCTGGGAAAAACCCGAAATGAAAATTCAGGGCTTTTGTTTCAATGCAATTTGGCATTTAGGTTTATTGATGCTCTTTCTGTTTTCTCTCTATAAGATTTTGTTTAATTGCATTGCAGTATAAAGCATGATAGCCTTAATTTGTGGATCAGTAGATTTTTCAAATGGCATTTTTATGAATATAAAGACTAAGCGATTTTCATTTTAATTATACCATGAGTCTTTTAAAATGTACCTTGGGAAAAATATTGAGTTACCTTTAAGCACTTTGCTAACATACTATAGGAACTATTCAGCCCAAAGCTGATATGGATTTGCTTTATTTAAACCTAAAAAGACAAAACAAATAGATCACAATACCAGACTTATACTGTTTCCAAAAGTCCTATTTCATGTTGAATTGATGAGGAGTAAATCAAACCATGCTGTTGGTCCATTTGGTTATGTGATATTTCTGAGAATGGAAGCCCTTTTTTTAGAATAAAATAGTTTCATTCAGCATAATTTGGGGAGGAAGAAGGGAGGAAATGACGATTATCTGAGATCTTCTACTGATGAAACCTTGTTTATTGACTCCATTTCACGGAGAAAAAAATAGAGACCACCTTCAAATAACGGAGAGAATCTTAGAGAAACAATAGAGATCTTGTCAATAGAAGTAGAATCTTGTGTTTTCTGGGTTTCCCATTATGGCTGGTTAATATGTGATCATGTAAGACATTTCTGGAGAATTTCAAATGCCTTTTATCTGAAATGATATTGATAACTAAGTGCTAATATACCATTTTGAGCATATTGGTTCTGATATGACCCACAGAGAAAAATATTTGAATGTTGCACATTACAGACATTTTTAGTGTTTACTTAACCTGCATTTTATCTCCTTTTTTATTATGTATGTTTTTTCCCCAGCATTAAACAGAGAATTTATGAAATTTACAGATAAACTGTTTCAGTTAGCTTGGTTTGAAATATGATTAGAAATGGACTGAAATATATTTTTGATATCAGATCAAAATCCAGACCTCTGTTTAGTGTGGACCTTTATAAAAAGGTCATTTTAACTCAAAGTACATTGGAAGTGACCCAGGAAACATTCAAAGCCACATGGGAAGATTGTATACTTGGCCCTTCTCATTGTTATTGTCATATGTGCTGTGAGTGGACATTTGGAAAGCACTTTGTATCAGGACACCTGTGAAAATAACCAACCCATCAGAGTACATTTATCTTTTTCAGTTCTGATTTCCACTGTATTGTTGTCTAATGCTGTTTTATAGGCTCAGTTGCAAAAGCACTCGAGTGTTAAGACTAATTTTATGATTTCCACTAGATGAAATATGCCATTAGTAAATATAAGCACTTCTACATGTTCTTTTTCTTTTAGATCAGTAGTTAAAGAAAAACAGGGTGTCTGGGTTATGCAAGATTTTCAGTGGAATTTTAGAAATACCACTTTCAACATGATTAAGACAATCAATTTTATGATCTTATTTTTTAAAACCCCTAAGTCTTTGAAAGTTACAATTTGGTCATGACAATATGCAAAGAATATTGCAAAAAATACACAATTTTTTAGTAATAGCCAACCTTAGTTAAGCTTGAAGACTGAAAGGAATTAATACGAAGATGAAATCAGAGGAAAGCCTTTCTTCACATTGATCCATGTTTTGTACACTCCATCTTAATATGCTGTTATTTAGACAACTGTTGATAGTGAAGTTAACATCTGTGCTCTCTTTGAAAAAAGGCTTGCTAAATGCATTTGAGAGAGAAATTAAAGTACCTTAAAGAAAAACCTATTTTCAAGTATCACCAGATACTAAAGAAATACCTATTCACTTGCAGTTGATGAAACTGTCATGGGATTTCAGAACTTGAAAACTTCATGAATCATAGGCTTTAACTCCCTCATTTTATAGAACGTGAGAGATTCAGAGCGTTAAATGATTGGATTTTAATTTAATATCTTCTACTCAATAAAGAAGCTGTCCCTCTCCCCAAGGAATTTAACAAGCTTCATTTAAAACCATGTATTTATTTGTGGTGTTATTAAATCCATTTACTAAGTGTAATTAAAATGAGCTTCTTTAAAAATATACTGATGTAATAATATTTCAGACCTTTCATTAAATTAGGCTGGCCATCCCAGTGGTCATCCAGATTAATAAATATTTGCTTTATCCTTAAAGGGAATTTACATTTTAGGTATTTCTTCTGCATCTTTAATTGATGATCATAAAAATAAAGATTTTGTACCCCTAAGCTCTGATGAACTCTTTTCAACATGAGAAAAATATTATAATTTTATGTGGTTATAAAAATAAAAATGTATTTCAGTCATAATAATTCCATATTGATCATTTTTTAAAGGAATTAGATACATTTTATTGTACCATTGGAGGCAGAAGAAGTTAGGTCTACGTGGTGCCAAAACATAAAAATTTATCAAATTGTGCTATTGAAAGCTTTATGGACAATTCCAGTGTTTGGTTAATGGGATTGTTCACCTTTATACCAGTCTTTTGTGAACACAGCCTGAGTTGGCAAGTATACTTTAACTAATATGAAGAAATCTACATATAAATTATTTAATTTTGATTTTTTATTTTTGGAAAGGACATAGGACCAAAAATTACTACTTTGTAGAAAAATGCAGTTTCACTTAAAAAAAAGTGTTGGAGAAAAATTGTTATGTGCCTTGTGGTTTCATTACATATTGATGTATTTAAAAATCTTTCAGTATTCTCATTGTTTAATTATGAGCCAAGCAGGCCCCTCACAGACGTGATATGTTAGGGCATTGTCCAAATCATCAGAGCCCACTAAGGTCCAAATTAATCTCTGAGGTAAGAGCATCATTGTCCCAGTGGATTTGTATGAGTAGCCACTGTTCTCATTAAATATGCAATTTTAAACTGAACAATTGACTTTTACCTAGAATCAGCTACAATTTCCATTAAATATATGTTATTAGGACTCTGTAACTACGCACACGTACACACATAAGCACAATCACATGTATTTCCTTATGAAAAAAATTGAAAACTAACAGAAAAAGGAAATAAGATTTGTATAATGAAAAAAATTTTAAGGACTTTGGGTTGTTTTTGTTAAGCATGCATATGCTGAAACTGACACGTAGTTTATAAGGTATGTATTAGATTAATTTTCAATGCAATTTCCCAGCTGTAAAATTGACTGTTTAATGTGGGAAATTATTCTTCCTAACAGGGAACAGACTAATAACTCTGTAGATCTATTTTTGGTAATATGTTGATGCTTGAGACCAAAATAATAAACTTTGATGTGCATTTCTTTCTCAGAGCTGTAAGAATCACACAGGTGGCCCATACTGCAATAAATGTCTTCCTGGTTACTATGGTGATCCTAGTAAAGGGACCTCTGAAGACTGTCAGCCCTGTGGCTGTCCACTCAATACCCCATCCAATAAGTGAGTAACCAACTTACCTCTCTAATGATTTGGGCATCCAATTCTGCAAGTGCATTTTTTTTTATTTTTTTTTTTAATATTTTATTTTTATTTGAGAGAGAGAGAATGAGAGATAGAGAGCATGAGAGGGAAGAGGGTCAGACGGAGAAGCAGACCCCCTGCCGAGCAGGAAGCCCGATGTGGGACTCGATCCCGGGACTCCAGGATCATGACCTGAGCCGAAGGCAGTTGCTTAACCAACTGAGCCACCCAGGCGCCCTGCAAGTGCATTTTTGATATAGAATGTTTCTTTCTCTTGTCACACATAAATAAATAATAAATATATGCATGAATTTCTCAGGAAGGTAATATGAGTTTTTCTAAATATAAAATATTTAAAGTTACGGCTATTTATTCTGCAGAATTTTTAATATTTTCGTTCTAGTTCTGGTGATTTAATATGTAAGCGACAGAACTCAAATGGAATTTCTAAAACAACTATAAAGGACAGACATATTTTATACAAATGTATATACATGCCCACATGTACACACACACACACACACACATACATGTGTTCATATAGTAATAAAAAGACCACTAATACTGGAGCACCTGGCTGACTCAGTGGTAGAGCATGTGACTCATGATCTTGGGGTTGTGAGTTTGAGCCCCACATTGGGTGTAGAGTTTACTTAAAATAAATAATTTTTTTTAAAAGATCACTAATACATTTACTGCTCATTTGGGTCCCAGTCTCACACTATTTATTTATGAATCTTTGGCAAGTCACAAACTCCTAGAAAAAGTAAAGAGACCAGTCTAGCTGACTTTTAAACACCCATCCTATCCCTTGGTTATCACATGGTTTATCACATTATCATATGATATCATACATGTAAGATATATATATATATACACATATGTCAGTTTATCTCACTAAAACAGTTTAGTGGTAAGGACTAGATTTAAATTATATGAATATTGAAATATGGGTGATATAAGCACCTTATTTTGTAAAAAGTAAGTCTTTAAAAAGTTTAATGAAACTTTATACATTTTTTTCAGTCATCAGTTTTTATTCATTTTTTAAAAATTTTCTAATTATTCACCTAGAACAATAACCTTGGAGTCTTGGAGAAGACTTTTAAGAGTGTATGTTTTGTCTGCCTCCCCCCCTTACCTTTTAGGGGAGTGCTTTCTTTCAGCTGCTCTAATTCCCATTCCTTCTGAGTGGCCAACTTTAAGCCACTACCTAAGCAAAACCCTGCATCACAAACAGTTCTTATTTTAATGGGGCATACTATGTTGAACAAAATCCAACCTTTCTGTACTAGTAAAAAATTGTACATAATGGTGATTGTAAGTGAAAGGCATCTTTTTGGAGACTCTTCTTAAAGGTAAGCATAGTGCTTCCTCTGCCTTCAGCTCAGGTCATGATTCCCCTCGGGCTCCCTCCTCAGCAGAGAGTCTGCTTCTACTTTTCCCTCTGCCCCTCCCCCCCAGCCATGCTCTCTCGTGAGCACACACACTCTCTCTATTTCTCTCTCTCTCTCTAATAAATAAATTTTAAAAATCTTTAAAAAACAGGCAAACTTAGTGCTTAATAATGTCCGTATTATATTAGGCACTTTCCAGCTATTTCTAAATGCTGTGATAATGCTTGAAGAGCTTAAATTTTTGGTGCTTTTTTTTAAAATTTTATTTTATTATGTTAATCACCATACATTATATCATTAGTTTTTGATGTAGTGTTCCATGATTCATTGTTTGCGTATAACACCCAGTGCTCCATGCAGTACGTGCCTTCACCGGGCTAACCCATCCCCCCACCCCCCTCCCTCTAAAACCCTCAGTTTGCTTCTCAGAGTCCATATTCTCTCATGGTTCGTCTTCACCTCCGATTCCCCCTCCCCTTCATTTTTCCTTAAGTCTATCAGCTATGGTCTTTTAATGTAAAGGTGTTATCAACTTGGTCATATTCTGAATGAGGTCTTACCCAAGACACTGCCAATGAAAATGGTCTTTTTATTAGAGTCAATGAATACTGTAAGCTAAAGACATAGATAATAATTCTGTCACTAAGTTTAAAAGTCCTCATGGAAATTATGGTTCCTACTTTCCAGCCCACATGAAATCCTTATCCTCCTGTCCAACAAACCTCCTCTTTCAGAATTTTACACCTTAATGATTGGAGCAGGGGGGAAAGAGAACTAATATTTAATTAAAACAGACTACTAGGGGCACCTGGGTGGCTCAGTTGGTTAAGTGTCTGTTTTCGGCTCAGGTCATGATCTCAGGGTCCTGGGATCGAGCCCCACATGGGGCTCCCTGCTCAGCGGGGAGCCTGCTTCTCCCTCCCTCTACCCCTCCCCCTGCTCATGTTCACTCTCTCTGTCTCTGTTTCTCTCTTTCTCAAATAAGTAAATAAAATCTTTAAAATAAAATAAAACAAACTACAATATTCTAGATATAGCAATATACAGTCCAATAAGGTGAATATTATTACCCCCATTTTACAGATTAAGAAAAAAGTCTCCAAGTGGAAAAATAGCATTATGGAACCAATTTTGGAGCTATAAATCCTTGATTTAAATTTTTAGTTCTATACTTTCTGGCTGTGTGACTCTGAGAAAGTTAATTAAATGCTCTGTGTCTCAGTTCTTTCATCATTAGTTGTGATAATAGGACCTCCTTATGGGGTTGTTGTGAGAATTATGTAAATTAAAATACACCAAGCACTTGAAACAATGATTGGACTTGATAAGTCCAATACAAGGACTGACTATTATTAAATAATTTGCTCAGAGTCATAATATTAAAGTATCAGAGTTGGAATTTTAAGTTTCAAGTCAATGTGCTTTCCAGGCTTCTGCAGTCTACATTGAGAACTTTTTTTAAAAAAAGCACACTGAATTTTAAGTGCTAAGGTTAAAAGCAATTGAGCTTGGATGGACACAAAACTGAAGATCCTTTGGCAACCAAAGGTATCAGAAAAAAGAAAGAAGCTAAAGGGAAATCTACTAGAAAATAATAAATATAGGAAGACAAATTAAATTCCTTCATATTCTGTGGTTAGCCAGTCCTATGTTGGCCATAATATGACACAACCCTTGCTCGCTGGTGTACTTGTGAAGGGTTAGACCGTGCAATGGAGAACCTGCTCATTCACTATGGCTGAATGAAATTCTCCAGGGCCATCCAATATATTCAAAATTCAATGTTCAACACTTGCTCTCACTGAGAAAAACAGGGACTACATCTGGCCATTCATTTCTGTTGTACTTCTTCTCAGGCAAAATGATAGTCACTAACAGAGCTACCAATCCAGCAGGCTACCATTGATTGTACAATGCAAATCTTAACTTAATACATTTTGAGAATTATGTATCAGCAACACCATCCATCAGTAACAAAGGGATTGGGTCCCAGTTCCAAAGATGGTATTTCCTCAAGTATATATGTTCGCATTTTGTATAATTATGCAGATCTTGATTTTTTTAAAAAAAAAATAAAGACAACTCCATAGCATCAATGACACCAAGTATTTAAAATTTTTAAAATATTTATTTAAAATAAAACATCTCAACTTTTGAGATGTTTCACTTACATTAAATAATAATTAAATTATTAAATAATAATTTTATCTTTAGAAGTAGAACTGAGAATAGAGTAGCAACCTGTTTTAAATTCCAGCTTCAAATATAGCTTTTTTTTCCAAGTAGAAAGACAGTGATAATCCACTTAGTTTAAAAATACTTAGTTTTGTGTTTAAAGTTAAAAAGACTTTTAAATTTAAAACCACGTGGAACATTAACATTGTTTAGCTGTGCAATTGTGATTAGAAAAATCCCCTGTAATCTAATGGCCTGAAGTGTTTTATTTTTAAATCATTAAATAATGAGACAGGGAAACTCTCCATTTAAAAAAATTTTTTTGAAAAGTCATTACTCTTATAAACTGAGTTGAAAACTCTGAGGAATAAATTGAATATTCACAAATAATCCAGAAGATGGGATTCAAATTTTCACGGGTTAATAACAACAACAAAAAAATCAGCTAAATGTTTGCTGTAACCTTCATCTAGAAGTATAAGGCTTAGTGATAGTTTTGCTTTGGTGATTTATCTATTTAATCCCTGATCATAAATCTTATAGATCACAAGCATTTTGGTTCCAAATTTCTTAGCTAATATTGCTAAATAAATCAAATATGTAGGGAGATAAAGATAGATTGGTATAATTATTATGATATATAAACACAGACAAGCATATAATATTTAAATTATACATATATATCAACTTCATCAGCTATTCACAGTGTCTACTGCTTGCTTAGCCCTCTCATCGTGGTGATGTATATATTCTAGCTATAGATTGTAACTAGGTAGTGAAATTTATCTCTAGAGAAGCAAGTAAATATGTAAATATTTCAAATGTTTTATATTCATTAATTTCTGGCATCACATAGCTTATAAATTAAATATAATATGAAAGAGACACATGAATGTCCACCCTTGAACATTCAGAATGTGTTTGAATAGATAATATTGAAATCATTTGTATAATAAAATTCAAGATAGTCTTGCCACAAGACTGGACAGAGGGTAGGCCCTCAATAAAGTCCTATTTACTAATATCGTTTTGAATACTACTTCTTTGGGTGCATCAGGAATGCTAGAATTTAAATTTTTAGAAGAATGGAACACTCCTAGAGCTGACTTTTGGGCTCACTCAGAGGGCTACATTGAATTATTGCTGTTGTAATTATTACTTTTAATAGAGAAATAGAACTATTCCAAGACAGAAGGTAAATTTAAGAAAATACTCAGCAACATTCTTGAGAAATCTCTGAGGGTGTTAGATGTTTCAGAGCACTTTCGTACACATTGTTTTATGTCTCCATGAGCGATTATGATGTATTTTACCAGTCCCTCATACCAGAGGGAAAGCTAAACTCCAGAGAAATTAAATGCCTCGATCATGATCATTAGAGCCCATATATTCTGATTCACCTTTCTGTGCTTCTTCCAGAGGGGCTATAGAAATAGAAACAATTACAGAGACATTGAAGAGAAGCAAGAAAACAAAAGGAAAGGAAAGAAAATTAACACAAGTTCATGTTAGACACACAGCAAATGTCTGTCATAAGAAATGATCCCAGGATTTGGCAACAGTTATGCTAAACAAATGTAGGGATTAGAGCATGATGAAAAAGTGCAGGTTTAATTAACAAGTAATGAAATACCTTAAAATGGAAACAAATCAACATATTTTGGCAAAAACAATCTAAAACATTATTAAATGGCAGCCGTAATTTATTGTGGCACTCTGCGACATGCTTGCTTTCGTACTTGATCAGTATGAAAGGCTTTACTAGGTAGATCATATTCTCTCATTTTGCTGAATGAGAAACTCGAGTTTAGAGGACAAAGAGCATCCAAAAACACAGAAAATAACCCAGTTCTAATTACAAAATTCAGGGATGGACATTAAATCAGATTTCATATCCTCTGAAGGTAATTAAAGAAATATATATGTTTGCTTACTGGTTCTCCTGAGAATTAGGACAGAGATCATTGACCTGAAAGAAGAAAACCTTACAGAAGAAAAACTTCAGAATTTCATGTGGCCCAAACCACCGTCATCAAGTAAAGGAGTTTTCCCTTCATTTTTCTCCCTTCCTTCCCAGTCCTCTGCTCCTTGGGCAGCTGTGACTGGGTGTTCTCACTACCCTTCCTGCAGCTCTTTTGTGGACACTGCAGCATCATCTTCTTCTGGTTTCTCTTTCCCTGACTCAAACGTTCCAGGTTGCAGTTAGTTAGCAGGAGTCCTGCTCCCCTATTGTATATGCAACAAAGAACACGCCCTGATTTTATAACCCCTGGTTTTATAATGCTGGAAATTTCACACCAGTGGCAAAAGGGGTGGTGGTTATTTCATTATCACATCAGGGTCCCAAGAGGCAATGCAGTTCCCTCTTGCATTAGCTGAGAGAAAGCTCAAAGCCATGTGTTGACTGCCACTTTCAAAAGAACATACCCTGGGGCGCCTGGGTGGCTCAGTCGTTAAGCCTCTGCCTTCGGCTCAGGTCATGATCCCAGGGTCCTGGGATGGAGCCCCTCATCAGGCTCCCTGCTCTGTGGGAGGCCTGCTTCTCCCTCTCCCACACCCCTGCTTGTGTTCCTGCTTTCGCTGTGTCTCTCTCTCCCTGTCAAATAAATAAATAAATAATCTTAAAAAAAAAAAAACACCTTATGATATGTATGCATTTTGTGCTCTAAAAACACCCTTGATTTTATCTTATTTTTAAGTGTTTTTTCTCTTGAACCTTATTGCACCATTTTATCTTCATGGACATATTTTGACAGGTAGAATTAAATTCTTTTTGGAGCAAGGCCAATTGTATATGTACATAGGCACATACGTTAGCACAAACACCTATATTTGCATATATATTCATATATATATATACACACACACAAACATGCACATATTACATACTTATAAATGGATCATTATAAATCTAAGAATCTATGTTCAGCCATTAAGAAGGACTATTTCCATGTGCAGATCCTTACTAGGTCGTCGACCAGTAGCTTCTTATCTTCCTCCTACTTGTGGAAAATGCCTGCTATTTTTGGATCACTTGTGTCTTCTGTGGCATGAAGTGGATAATTCAGGAAGCAGAACACAGTCTCTCTGCTGATGGAGAGCTAGCCAACTAGAGTTAAATGACATAATCTTGGAATCACTGGAAATCAACAATGTTCTTACAGTTCCCTCTTTCTGTCACAGAATAGTTAGCTTCATATTTTGGCCAAAATCAGTGTCAAGTCGCTTGCTGCGTTGGCTAGAATAAATTCTGTAGATGTTTTCTGTTGTCCATGTTTATTTCCCATTCTCATTTTATTTCTGTTGTTGAATGCCCTCTTCCTTATAGCAGTAACTGTAATTATAGTGAGAAGTGAGTAAACCCGCAGATTATATTGTTTAAGGAATATTGAATCACAAATACAGATATAATTTATGAGGATATTTTATTTAGATGCATCATGTCAAGTGATGTATTAGCAAAAGTTTAAACTTACTTAATTCTTACCAGTAGAATGAATGCTGGTTGGTTATAGGGAAAAGAGAATGTCAAATTAGAAATGAGCAGTCCTAGATTCCATGCTAAAGGCTCCTGGATATTAGCTATGACCTTGGGCAAGATAAATGATGCCTGCCCCAACCAGCTGATAAGATTTTGTGCAAATGGGGCGCCTGGGTGGCTCAGTTGGTTAAGCGACTGCCTTCGGCTCAGGTCATGATCCTGGAGTCCCGGGATCGAGTCCCGCATCGGGCTCCCTGCTCAGAGGGGAGTCTGCTTCTCCCTCTGACCCTCTTCCCTCTCGTGCTCTCTATCTCTCATTCTCTCTCTCTCAAATAAATAAAATCTTTTAAAAAAAAGATTTTGTGCAAATGTGATAAAATTATTTGTAAAAGTCCTCTGAACATGTAAAGAGCTGGTCAAATCGAAGATACTGTTATTCCTTATTTTTTTTCCTGAAAAAGTATTGATTTTTGTCAGTGGGTGCATTTTCCTTTACTTCTGTTGGTTTTAACTGACACATGAGTATATTTAAGAATTTGAAATCTATTTTATAGTTTCAAAGTGTCAGAAACCTTGTCAAGCACCTTTGACATGACTTATGGTAAACTGATTTAGGATTTTAAAAAATAATTGGTGCGGTTTTCTTTCAATCACTGGAGCCCCACATGAGTGGGAGACCCAGGGCTTCTAGTTAGAGTCATTTTGTCCCTGGACAATGAGACAGTATTGAATGCCAATTTTAAAATAAGACATACATGTATTTTAGAGATTTGTCAAAATCCAGTACTCCCTTTTATGTCTGGAAACAATAGCAAATCATGAGGTGAGGAGGGAAAAAAACATCTGTTTCTTTCCATTTTTAAATGTGCCAAAACACAGTCATTCACCTGCCGGAAAATCACTCATGGTGAGGTCCTTTTGGGAGCAAGTGCCAGGCTGCTCTCCAAAAGATGGCCCTCCCTCACAGAGCACAGGCTAGTTGGGACTTGGTTCTGCTGCTCATGGCAGCCTCCACAACCCCTTAACATGGCGTCTTTTATCTGGGTAATGTTTGTAACTCAAGGTAGCCCAAGCCAGGCTTCTCCCGTGCCTTATGTCAATAGATTCATTTTGACTTTCCACTGAGTTGAAATGTTTTAAATGATAGACATTCTAATAACTTGCTACTATCAAAAAAAGTATTAAATCTTTGGAGGACTGCTGTGAGTTAAGCCAGAGGAGTATTATTCAGAAGTAGTACTTGTGATCTGACCCGCACAAAAGTCAAGGAAGTATTCCAAAGTTATTCAAGTGTCAGGAGCAGAACACAATCAGGACTTGGAATATTTAATTTGTTGTTCGCTCATTAATTCACTTAGCCATCAAGCAAGCCTCTATTGAATTGTCCTGTCATATAAAATAGAAAAGTAAATCTATTTAGGGAAAACATAATGGGAGAGAGATTAATTGGGGGCATTTTATTTTAAAATGGTAGAGCAGCAGATCTCACAGAATTCAGAAGGGTTGATGGCTCTTCAGAAAGCGATTGGGTCAATCTTGGGATAAGGGTTCATGCGTGAGGGATATCTCTCACAAGGCAAAGAAGTATGTCTGGGGCTGTACATGTTGTTGAAGGCTGGCATATAATTCTGTAATTACTCTGCTGGATCCTAATGTGGTCTTCAGTTCTGTTACTTCAGACCCAAACTGGAAATAGGTACAAAGAGAGAGATCAACTTTGGAATATGTCAGAAGATGTGCAATGGCAAGGTTTTTGGGGATTGTTTGGTTGACTATATATTTAGGCAGAATCCGTATGCTTTATCTCCTCTGAAAACTATTTGGAAGATTTCATCTGCCTAAACAGCATGCCCCTGGGTCCACGTGGGCAGCAGCTTGTGCATATGCATGCATGCGTGCACACACCCCCACACCCCGCCCCCCACATACAAGGAAGCAGTACTGAAAGTAGGAGCCCCATCACCACCACCACTCCTATCACTACTCCCAAGATCACATACTGAGTTTTCCAAAATCTGTAACAGACTTTTCTGAGCTGCTTCAAATTCAGAAGGATTTGGCTAGAAAGAAAGTGTATGATGCTGTGTCTTGCCAGGCCTGGGCTATCCCTACAAGCGACTGTATAGTGCCACTTGTTACTGATGATCACGCACCCAGAACAGTCAAAAGTCAGTTAATAACATGCCACAGAGCTCCTGCTCTCCACTGGGCTATGTTCACATCTGCAGAAATAACAATGTCATTTCATCCTCGATTGGCCAGACCCTCATCTCCATCTGTGGGACAAGAATGACCATCCTGTGTACCCTTTTGTCACAGCAGTCCTGGAGGAAGAGAAATGAAAATATGCCGTTAATGACTTTGTGTATGTGCTTCTTCCTTGTCTCTGTTGTTCCCCAACAATGTCAACATAGCTTTAGCCCGACGTGCCATTTAGACCGAAGTCTCGGACTGATTTGTGATGCATGCTCTGTCGGATACAGAGGACCACGCTGTGAGAGGTAAGCATGGACTACACTGTCTGTCATGAGGATTTCGAACTCGGGAGTTACAAAACCACAGGCATTATCATCCTTCGTACTACTTCAGAAATGCTGCCACACTCAGTGAGGTGAAGTAAAGTTTCTCGCTGTACTTGTCAAACAAATGCATTTTATTCTTATAGTTTATTTATTCTCTAGAAATTGCTCTGTAAATCTCCGTTCACTCAGAGAGTGTTTGATTAATGTTTTTATCTTCAAGGTTAAGCATTAACCTACAATCTTTCTAGAAAGTATTGCTCAAGTGGAAAGTCATGCACTTTAAGATTTATCTTACTGTCTATGTTGGCACCATTTATTTTTCATAATTAGTTTTTTGTTCTTAAAATGGGGCTTAATGTGTAGTTCATAGTTCAGCAAGCGGTCCATAATTTACTTTATATTTGAAAATAGAAATAAAACGTGATTTATTATCATGAATTCTATCCTCTTCTAATTACTTCTAAGCCCGTATTTTAATTCCTGTTGATTTTACTAGGTTGCTTTGCAGTGGAACCAGAGATATGAGTTTATGTAATTTGTGTGATTATTTTTCTCCTGAACTATTTTTGAAGGAAAGGTTCTTCTGTATTTCAGTCTTAGTATAAAAATGGTACAAAATTCTCCCTTGATATCATTGACAAGTATACCGACATCTCTCTGGTTTTAGCCCTGGAAGTCTTCCCCTTTGCTGCCATCACTGGGGGTTGGGGGAAGCAGAGGAAGTGACCTGCTTTCACCCATTATCACCAAGGCAGAGCCCACAGAGGGCTATTTCTGCATCTCCTTTCCTGTCCTCTTGTCACCCTAGTTCAGCCAGGGTGCATAAAGTTAATGAAGCAGGAGCCGATCCCCCAGAGAGAGTTTAGCCAACAGCTAGCCGTCTGTGGACGATGTGCCGATGACGGTTCCCAGCAGCAACAAGGACTGTTTGTGAGCATGGCAACATCTGTAAATGAGTAATGGAAGACTAGAACTGAAATAGGGATGATTTATTTGCAACTGAGGGACTGGAGGTCTTTGTGTTAATAATAAAAAAATAAAAAGGAGGGCACGTGTAGATGACTTACTCTAATCGCAGGATACATCATTGCCAAGACAGACTGACACCAAGTGCCTAAGCCCCTGGCTCACTACAGGCAACCTTTTCTTTAGCAACTGGAAAATGATAGCTGATCTGTCACGCTACGCCATTAAATCCACTTATCGAGGGGAGCATGGTCTCTGGTGTATTTATGTTACTTTGCTTCATGCTCTGTATTTTCTATACATGGTAGACAATCCTTTTTGAACCAGGTAAGTTTAACATTCTGCATTTTATTTAACAAACATCAGTTTAGCAACTACCACGTGACAGGCATGGGGCTTGCTATATAGGATACAAACGGATGCATTGCACCATCCTTACCTTCAAGCAGCTCACATCGCTGTGAGTGTGTGTGACTGTGTGTGAGTGTGTGTGTGTGTGTGTGTGTGTGTGTGTTTTTGTGTGTGTGTGTGTCTGTGTGTGTGTGTGTGTGTGTACGTGCCTGGGTGACAATGGTTGAATGTATTCTGGAAACAGTTCTAATCTGAATAATCAAAAGCACCGAGGAAAGAAATACCTGACAGTAAGCATGATTTTCTGTTCAAAATCCTTACTAATTGGCTTAAAAAAAATGGAAACGGATATATGCTGCTTCTCAAATGGCATATCTTTTCTCCAAAAGTTTTTCAGTCAAAAATCATCTTAGACTATTATGATATGGAAGATGGAATATTATATTTTTCTAGCCAGAATTTGGATTAGGGTTTTCCAGGAATATTCAGCGTTTATCATTTCTCTGTATTTCTATGAGCTCAAAAGTCCATTAGTAGAGGGATTCACAATATGAGGAGAAACGTTTTTGAGGATGTGCAGGCTGAAATGGAAGGAGAGGAGAATAAGGGTCAGAGGAAGAAGAAGATCCTGGTTGCCCTGAAAATCTTGTAATCAAAACTATTCTGTAAGTGATTGGTATAATCAGTTTGTGCACATCATCTACATAAAATCAGCCTTGGAAAACTAGAGCAGTGTTTCCCAAACTGTAGATGTTTTTGAAATAGAGTTCTGTGATCACATAAGTATTGAAGTATCTATTAGCATGTTAAAAATTCTGACATGTCCTGGATGGAAGAAATCTGTTTAATTTCTTTAAGCATTTTCTTTTCTTTTCTTGAGGTGTAGCTGACACACAATGTTACATTAGTTTCAGGTGTACAACATAGTGATTGGACAACTCTATCCATTATCCTGTAACCAGCATTTTCTAATCTTGTGTGACCATAAATCCTTACTATATCTGTATCAATCTATATTTATACCCATCTATCTATCTATATATATATATATCAAGAATGCATCTCAGACTACAGCTCAGGTGGACAGGAATTATAACTTTATATTCTTTATCTCAATTTAATTTCTATTTTGAGACCAAATCTCTATATGTGGAAGCTGTGAGAGCTTGGAAACATAATTTCAGTCAGGTACACTTTAAATTTACTCGATGTTATATGTCAATTATATTTCTATTTAAAAAATCTGTTTTTTTTCTCTCCTCCCCATCTCCCAGGCTTGAATTAAAGTTCTAACAAGCTTACTTAGTATGCAGAAACCTGAATGCTTGAGTGAGTGAGTGAGTATGTGTGTGTCTGTGAGTGTGTATGTGACTGTGTGTGTGACTGTGAGTTTGTATGAGTGTGTGGCTCTGTGTGTGTGTGTGTGTACGTGTACACACATGCGTGTGGCAATGGACAGATGGTGGGACAAACATCCAAGGGTGTTTCTGCCAACGTCTTCCTTTTTCCCATCCTCCCAACTGCCTTTCCTTTCAGGCCAAATAACGCTGCACTACTTCATACCACTAGTGGGGGTGCAGGACTCATTCTGCTGCCTTCACTCCACACTGGGACCCACCAACTCTCTATTTTCATCCCTTCTCCATCTACCTTTCTAACTTCATGCCATTTTCTGTTTGGGGATGAATTGCAGTAAGAGGGGCCACATTCATAGAAATGGTGACTTTTAGAGCCCAAAGTCCAGAAGATTGCTGTGTTTCTGCTTTCGTCCTTGTCAGATCCTTTCACTCAGTCATGTAGCACAAGATGGTCTTGCTGCTAGACCTGAGGCAATGAAAACAATCATAAACAAGAGAATGGCAAAACAAGATATGACAAAATATTAACTAATATTTTTTTTAGTTGACCCACAATGTTACATTAGTTTCAGTTGTACAACATAATGATTCAACAACTCTATAGGTTATCCTGTGCTCACCACGAGTGTAGCTCCCATCGGTCACCATACAATGCTATCGCAATACTATTGACTGTATTCCCTGTGCTGTGCCTTCCATCCCCGTGACTTATTCATTCCATAGCTGGAAGCCTGTACCTCCCTCTCCCCTTCACCATTTTGCCCTACCCTCAGCCCCCGACCCCCGTGGCAACCGTTAGTGTGTTCTCTGTTCTTATAGGTCTGATTCCGCTTTTTTTTTTAACTTCATTTAAAATACTGTCTGATATTCTATAACATGTAGAACACTAGTTACACTTTTCAGAAACTTTTGCTTGGGGCCAAAGCGCCCATATTTTCAGATATTACTGCTTTCCTCTGGGGAATATTTTAAACAAAAGAAAAACAGAGAGAATGAGGGAATGAGGTATTCATCATGGCACTTTGCTAAGATTCTGGGCATCTGTCATCATCAAGAAGGAGAAAAAATAGAAAAACAAAGTATCTTGAAGGGTGAAAGTATGAGTGTTGGAGCATCAAGAGAAATTTAAAAGAACATGGAGAAACAGTGAGCTAAATGCTGATGAGACTTGCTCTACTTGTCACTAAGCTACTTTCAGAATAAGACTGTAGCTCCAGCAATATATCATACTTAATGGAGAGACACTTAAAAAGACTGGCGCAGCTCATGGGTGGCTCAGTCAGTTGAGCGTCTGACTCTTGGTCTCAGCGCAGGTCATGATCTCAGGGTCATGGGATCAAGCCCCACATGGGCAGGCTCTGCGCTTAGCAGGGAGCCTGTTTGAGATTCTCTTTCCCTCTGCCCCTCCCCCCAAAATAAATAAATAAATCTTAAGAAAAAAAGACTGTGGCAAGTTGACCCAGTTGGATCCACATGAAACTTAATGAGGTACAGGGACCCCCGAAGCCCTGTCCCCTCCCTAGCTGGCAAATTTTTAACAACTCCTCCCCAAGTGAGGAGAGAGAGGGCAAGGTCAAGACTAATTTCACAATGGCCACTGAGAATGCAGAAGGTATTGGAACCTAACTGCTTAAAATTCGGAATTTTACCTACAGTTTTATCCGTATGATACATATTCTAGGTCAGAAAATTTTTTTGCTTTTTAAATTTCAATTCCAAAATCCTATTTAGATATTCTCTGCTTCATAAATTCCTGACTTTGAATGAGTCTAATTACCATATTACCACTATGCTGGTGAGAATTTCTACTCACGCCTGAGTCTCCTTGTGCCCTTGAGTCTCAGATGTGGAGCGTATAGTCACAGAAATAGAAAAAGCAAGACAGTCATACTTAACTCGGTAGTACCATTAGCAGAACTGTGACTCCAAGTAAGGTTTCAAAGTCTGCTCCTATGTGGTTGGGCAGTTTGTATACTGCACAAAAGTACTCAGCCGAGGGGCAGATTAGAAGCCTGAATCCTGGGTGCTCAATATGTCCATTATCTCTTCGTTTTTCTGCATGTTTTCAAAGAGGACTCTTTTCTTCCTCTAATTTGCAGAAAGGAACCACATAAGCAGGCAAACTCACTCAGTCTTTAACTGATTCAGTCACATGGGAAGTAGTAAGAATACATCCCTATTGCATAGCCACTCCCATTTACACTCCAGCCACCCTCCTCTGTGCCTTCACCAATACTGTTCCCTCTGACTAGAAGTCTGCAGCCCTTCCACTCCTCCATGTGAGACTCACCCTGCTGAACTTTTCCAATTCAACTCTATCATCCTGACAGTGTCCTTGATGAATCCTAATCTGAATTGGTTGCCTTTTCCTGTGCTTCTCTGAGAACGTTGGCATATCTGTAGTAGCTCCCTGCCACATTTTTAAGTACATCTTTCTTCTCCCTGGACTGCAGCATAAAGATTTTGCCTTATTTATATTAGTATGATGAAGTGTTCGGTAGGTATTTGAGGAAGGGCAGGAGAGGCAAAGAACAAGAGCTCTTCTAGTATGCTTATAGAGATTGAAGCACTATGTTTAGTCTATAGATACTGAATGGGACCTTAGGCCACATATTTTAGCCAAAAGTTATTGAAAAAATGAAGCAGCAGAGTGAGAGAAATCTTGCCAATATTGCTCTGCACTTCTCATTGCCATTTCTCTTCACTTTTGCTATCCTCCCTCTCCCTCTCTCATCTCTCTCTCTCTCTTTCTCTCTCATATTGTTCCTAAGTCATCGATAGAAAGAACCATATTACATAATGGCATGTGGCATCTAGAATCTCATCTACATTAAAAGGTCTCTTTCTAAAATATTGCAATTTGGTATGAAAAAAGTTAGCAAAAGTGGAAAGGAACAGCGACTTTGTATTGTCAGGACGTCTATCTGTAGCAAGGAATCCAATAAACTCTGCTAAGAAATGTTCTCATTCTGCCTTATGTATGAAAATGAGAGACCCTGAGATTTCAAATGACAATTAGTTTTTATAGAGTGAAAAACTCAGAGGCTGGCAAGGTCTAAAGGGCTGTCATTCACACTAATTTTAATTAAGTGACTCCAACTTGATCAGACCATAAAACACTATTATTATTAACAAACGTTATATGATTAGCCGTATTATATTTGCTGACCCTAGAATTACTTTTAAATTTCAACTTAAACATTTTTATGTCTCTAAAACTACTATATATGGAAACACACACACATATACACACACACACTAGTAATAAAACCTGAATGCACACTTTTGATGGAGCGGCATATGAATTATCTATCATGTATATTCAATATGCTTTCTTACGTGTTCTCCAACAAAAAATAAAAGATGCTTCTTTGGTTAGTCTACTTAATTGTAATTATTTTCTCATGAACAGAAGTTTCCTTTTTATTGTAGGAGAATTTTAGGCTTATTAATTGGTATCTATGTTAAGGAAAATTCCCAGATCTTGTTATATAATACCATCTCTCCTGAGGGCAGTAAGTCATTTTGCGGAAAGTGAGCTGAAAATAATGGGCTTTTGTTGGCTGCAATAATGATCATTGTATATCGTTGTTCTAGTGGAGTGGAGTCACACTCTTAATGGTAAACAAAATGAGATGCGAGTATATGTGGATGTGATCATAAGCTCTGCATATCGAGTAAGGCAAGGAGAATTGGGTTCAAATTCAAAAGTGTCTTCCTATTATCTTTATGGAATACCACTTCTGAATTGTGGGGAAATTTTATGCACTAAAATGTTAGTTCATATTTTACAGTGGATAATTAATAAGCAATTATATTTGTGGGTGACATATTCTTCCAAGCAGTATTTATACTATGACTTTCATGATTTGTACAATATTTTGTGAATATAATTAAAACTAGTAATCTCATTTAAAAATTATGGACAAAAGTTAATTCTCTTAAAAAAAAAGATTATGGCACTTACACGTGTTCTAGAAAACTCAGAGTCATTAATGACTTTGGCCCATAATTGTGATGTTATTAAATATCCTCACATGATGTAATGGATTTAAATCATTTCTATTTTGAATGGTAGAGAGCATTTCTCTACATAGTTACTTACGTGTCTGTGACTAGAGGAGCACAAAAGTGTGTACTATTGAAATTATATTCTTCCATATTGTTTTTGTCCCCCTTCAGTTTTGATCTTTGCTGCACAGGACTTTTTATTTTGCCAAGATGGTACAGATGACAGAGCCAGCTTGACTGTAAGACTAGAGATGCACTGTTTTGTTTCTCCTCTGGCAAGTGTGGTTTAATATGAAGCATGAACAAATGTAACTGAATGAGAAGACAGAGCAGAATATAAATAGATGCCTCCTAAAACCATGTATCTGTGCATCTGTGACATTAAGGAGCATTTTGAAACAACATATGGATAAAGGGAAATTTGATACTATAATTTAAAAAATCTTCTCTGCTATGCCTCATAAATAAACAAACTTGTTTTTCCAATAGTATGTAAAAGAGTACTTAGTCCTTAAAAAGAGAGAGAGAGAGAGAGACTTAGAGTTTGCTAATAGGAGCTGTGGCACAATTAAGCATCACCTTACAGCGTGTTACCCTAAGATGCAGGCATACCTGCTTCTTGGTAAAAGCTCTTCAATGAAAATCTGCCTCTGTATGGAAATGCAAATATATACAAACCTATTATTAATGCAGCGATACCCACGGCCCCCACCTGAATAATAATGAGAATCTTTTGAGTCACAATTTTCTATTTAATAAATTCTGAATTCTCGCTGCTAAATTGCCTTGCAAGTCTGTTTCCTCATAACAAGCTTTTGTTACAACAACTAAAAAACATGAATCTTACATATTTGTACAAAAAACAACCAATTGGAGTAGATACATATGATGTGTTGCACTACAAAGGCTTTCCAAGATGGACCTGAATTCCTCTAGAGGGCCAGCAGCAGATTTCTTATTATGCTTTGGTCTCGTCTTCAGTGCCAGTGACAAGATTTTTTTTTTTTCCTGGCTGAAATCTAATTACTAGTGGGGCTGGCAGGATTTCATCTTGTATCTACACTGCGGTTATAGAAAAACATTTTTTAATCACCTTGCATTAGAGAAAAGGAGCACTTAAAAGGAAAAACCTATCATCCTGGGAGAGGGTAGTGTGAAAAATGTATAAGCATTGCCCCCAATGGGTTTCATGAGTTCCTCCCAAATACTCACTGATGAAATTTTTCCCTGTAGGTGTGCAGAAGGCTATTTTGGACAACCTTCTGTACCTGGAGGATCATGTCAGCCATGCCAATGCAGTGACAACCTTGACTTCTCCATGCCTGGCAGCTGTGACAGCTTGTCTGGCTCCTGTCTGATATGTAAGCCAGGTACAACAGGCCGCTTCTGTGAGCTCTGTGCTGATGGGTATTTTGGAGACGCAGTTGATGCAAAGAACTGTCAGCGTAAGTCCTGAACTATTGACGCCCTTGACAGAATTGATGCCTCGCACCTCAGAGCAACTGATGAGTTCTTGAGTGGGGATTGGAGGGTAGGAAATTATGTGGATACATGTATCATAGACGCACAGCCTATACACAGAGTCTGCACATCCTAAAATATTTCATTGGAGTAATAGAGTCAATCCTTTGAAAATTGCTGCATTGTCAAAGGGTGGTTGTTTTTCAAATGATGCACACATTTTTGTTTTTGTTTATGTGTGGAATGAAGATTTTAAAATAAACTTATGCCCGCAATAGGAGAGAAGAATTTAGAAATTAGGTAAGCCCCATTTATCCTTATTGTTTATCTCGATGGTAATCATTTTCTTAATGAGTTTATCTGTCCGCATTATTTCTTTGGTGCCTGTTTGTAGGTGTTCGTCTGTTATGCTTTCATATGTGAACTTCACATTCTTGCACTTCATAATGGGTGTAAAATTCTGCCCATATTTCTACACACTGGCATTTGTAATTGTTAAATTATTGACTTTCACCTGAGAACTATTCACAGAACGATATTTCTGTTTCCTTTTACAAAATTAGCTATTGTAGGGCTTATCCATGTTAATCAGTACATTTCTCCTGCCACCTCCACCTCCTTAGCTGCATTATTCAGCATTGCATAGAATTTACTAATGCTTTATATTAGCAGTAACGTAATATGCAAGGGAAATCTTCTTGTGCAGAGTCCAGTGGAATGTGAATCCATGTCAGCACCTGAGTACTTTACATGCCATCCTCGACTTCACCTGCTGCCATAATGTTTAGGTAGGGCAGGTTATGATACCCACAGTTCACTTCTGCCAACTTCATTATGTAAGAAGGGGTTCTTCCAGTCATTCAGTTAGGACCTAGGAGCTGCAAAATTATAGAAACTACTGTAGTGTCTTGTTATTGTCTCTGCTATGAACACCAAAGACCAGGTAGGACACCCCATCTCAATAACAAAGCATTTATTAATATCACCTATAAATTGGTATTTTTTAAAAATTTCCAACAGTCTCAGAAAGAAGTGCCTTTAAACATTGTAAGTTTACCTGTGTAAAATCACAGGGCGCTTAAGAAATTCTCGCATTCAAAGACATCATCTAGGATCTACAGTTTCTAGCTATGTGACCTTGGACAAGGCAGTTGACCTCACTGAGATTCAGTTTCTTCATTTGCATAAAAGGTCATGATTTTCTGTGGGGATTAAAGGATCTAGCGCATGGAGAGTGTCCAGTGCACTGCTTGGGCCTGGGATGCTCACACGTGGTAGCCCCTTTGGCAGTAGCACTCATAGTAGTTGTTTCTGTGGCTTGCATATTTAGGGCTGTGTGACCTCTTTTTCTATCTTCCGATAACTCCCTCCATAAAGTTAAGGAGATCTTTCCACTCATTTTATTGTAGTAAATTGGGGATCTGTGGCATAAGAACACATAGGAGAGGGGCACCTGAGTGGCTCAGTCATTAAGCGTCTGCCCTCGGCTCAGGTCATGATCCTGGGGTCCCAGGATCGAGCCCCGCATCGGGCTCCCTGCTCTGTAGGGAGCCTGCTTCTCCCTCTCCCCCTACTTGTGTTCCCTCTCTCGCTGTGTCTCTCTCTCTCTCTGTCAAATAAATAAATAAAATCTTTAAAAAAGAAAAAAAAAACACATAGGAGAATTATGGTATAAAATTATTTTTCAAACCATCACCAATTTTTATACCACTTGCCATGAGGTACATATAGAAATGATTAGGGTTTTTAATGCTCTTTAGCTTAGAAAAATATAAGAAACATATTATCTATTTTTATAATTTTTCTTATATATGATAGCTCATCTATGCATAGGTAGTAAATCCTCAAGAAGAGAAAATTCATGATAAATCATTATTTTAGTTTCCTCTAGGTTTGTTCGTGGAAAGTACACCACTACAAAGAAATATATTTTGCTTTTAAAATTTATGTGTTATTGTTTGGTTCATACATTTCATTTAAAAATGCCACTTAAAAATTTGTATTGCTTTTGTTATTTTTTCAAGTTTTTATTTTAATTCCATTAGTTCACATGTAGTATAATATCACTTTTGGGAGTAGAATTTAGTGACCCATCATTTACATACAACACCCAGTGCTCATTACAACAAGTGCCCTCCTATTAATGCCTGTCACCCATTTAACCCATTCCAACCCCCCACCCCCATTCACCTACCCTCTAGCAACCCTCAGTTTGTCCTCTATAACTAAGGGTCTCTTATGGTTTGTGTCTCTCTCTTTTCTTACCCCTATGTTCATCTGTTTTGTTTCTTAAATTCCACATATGAGTGAAATCATACGGTATTTGTCTTTCTCGGACTGACTTATTTCACTCGGCATAATACCCTCTAGTTCCATCCACTTCACAGCAAATGGCAAGATTTCATTTTTTGTGTCTGAATAATGTTCCGTTGTATATATACCACATCTTCTTTATCCATTCATCACTTAATGGACATTTGGGCTCTTTCCATAATTTGGTTATTGTGGATAATGCTATGAACATTGTGGTGCATGTGTCCCTTTGAATCAGTATTTTTGTATCCTTTGGGTAAATACCTAGTAGTAGGGTACTTCTATTTTTAACTTCTTGAGAAACCTCCATACTCTTTTCCAGAGTGGCTGCACCAGTTTGCATTCCCACCAACAGTGTAAGACGGTTCCCCTTTCTCCACATCCTTGCCAACATCTGTTGTTTCCTGTGGTGTTGATTTTAGCTGTTCTGACTGGTGTGAGGTGATATGTCATTGTAGTTTTGATTTGTATTTCTCTGATGATTAGTGATATTAAGTATCTTTTCATGTGTCTCTTAGCCATCTGAATGTCTTCTTTGGAAAAATGACTATTCATGTCTTCTGCCCATTTCTTAACTGGATTATTTGTTTTTTGGGGTGTTGAGTTTGATAAGTTCTTATAGATTTTGGATCTAACCCTTTATCAGATTTGTCATTTGCAAATATCTTCTCCCATTCCGTAGGTTGCCTTTCAGTTTTGTTGATTGTTTCGTTCACTGTGCAGAAGCTTTTTATCTTGATGAGGTCCCAATAGTTCATTTTTGCTTTTGTTTCCCTTGCCTCTGGAGACGTGTCTAGTAAAAAGTGGCTATGGCCAAGGTCAAAGAGGTTGCTGCCTGTGTTGTCCCCTCGGATTTTGATGGTTTCCTGTCTCAATTTAGGTCTTCCATCCATTCTGAATTTATTTTTGTGTATGGCATGAAAAAGTGGTCCAGTTTCATTCTTCTGCATGTTGCTGTCCAGTTTTCCCAACACCATTTGTTGAAGAGACTGTCTTTTTTCTATTGGATATTTTTTCCTATTTTATTGAAGATGAGTAGACCATATAGTTGTGGGTCCATTTCTGGGTTTCCTATTCTGTTCCACTGATCTATGTGTCTGTTTCTGTGCCAGTACCATACTGTCTTGATGATGACAGCTTTATAATATGGCTTGAAGTCCGGAATCATGATGCTTCCAGCTTTGCTTTTCTTTTTCAAGATTGCTTTGGCTATTCAGGGTCTTTTGTGTTCTAAACAAATTTAAGGATTGTTTGTTCTAGCTCTGTGAAAAATGCTGGTGATTGGGAAAATCAATCAATGCACTGTGATACAGCTTTACATGAATCATCTCTACAGCTTTTGTAGACTCATTCTAAGAATTGAATGCTATAACGCCTAACAGAACACCTAGCAAATCAGAAAACATTCTGTTCTAAAACTTAGTTCCAGTGTTACCATATGGGGGACATTACTATTTAACAAGCCCATTAATACTACAGGAAGTGTTTTCCCAACCACAGATCGCTCTTCTTTTTGCAGCTTGTCGCTGTAATGTCAACAGCTCCTTCTCTGAGAGTTGCCATGCCAGGACGGGACAGTGTGAATGCAAACCTAACGTGCAGGGACGGCGGTGTGATGAGTGTAAGGTAAGGAGTAGGAGCTGATGAAGAATCACTTCCTCCTCGAAAATGTTCATTAGCTTTCAACGATGTACATATTAAATATATTGAAAGAGGAGTTCAGGATTATCCAATTCTATATGTGCCATCACTGTGATCATTGAAATATTTTTTCCAAAATAGAAAAAAATTTGCTATACACTAGCTTTTGACCTTCAACCTGTCTCTCCTTGGCAGTGAATTTGGGTCATATTTACTGTAATTTGGACTTTTTAAAACAAATAGCATAGCAATTTAATCCCAGTCTATAGTGAGTAAAATACTCTTTGCTCTTACGTTGGCAGAATGAAATGCATCACATCCTTTGTTTTTAGCAAACACTTTTTCTAGTTCTGTCATTTACAAGTGAGTTTCAGGGAGCACTCAACTAAAGTTTTCAGTAGAGAAGCTAATCCACATATTTTTAGATACATCGTTTTTCTAAAAGGGAAACAAAAATATCAAAACATGTTGCTCTCTGTTCCTGAGCATATTGCCCTGCCTTCAGGATGGCAAGTGCCTTCCTTCCCTCCACGAGAGTGACAGATCCGCACTACCTCTTTCTTCTAAATATGTATGTTTGGTGATAAAGACTATTAAACAGAACAAACATTTCTCAGATGGCAAACTGGCCCCGCTGTAGTAAGTTTGAAAGTATCATCTGCATCCATCTCGTGAATAATGGCGTATGCTCTTTTGTTCCTTTGTTTTGTTTTTCTGTTGGCTTTTAAAGCCCGGTATGCGGTGGGATCCAGAGAAGCAGTTCTGTGTGTGGTGTGACTGCAATCCCGTTGGCTCTGTGACACCGTGGTGTGATGTGACAGGAAGATGTGCGTGTAAATCTGGCTTCCTAGGGCGACAGTGCCGCCTCAGCAGGCAGATGCAGCGGCAGGAGGAGAAGTCACAGAGAGCACAGCGGGGGCCAGGGCCTCCTCTGAGGTGGGCTGTCAGCAGCTCCAGCGGGTGCCCTAGGGGAGCCTATCGGGCCCCAGCTCCGGTAATCCCAGAGGCGCTGCATGGCTCATGCCTCCGCATGTCGTGTTGTGTGTGCTGCAGCGGACCTTCCCCGATGGCCTTGTTCCCGTAAGGGTTGCTCAGGGTGCCAACTGCGAATGTCAACACTAGGCAATTCCCACTTCAAGCCTTGCCTTTTGAAAGTAGCTGTATCTGTGTAGTTTTAAAATTATATTCAAGTTCATAGGTTCATAAAAGTTTCGACTAACCGTGGATCTAGAGGAATGAAAGTTTATTTTTTAGAAACCTATAATCTTAGAAGTGAAAGGAATTTCAGGCATCATTTGGAGCAAATTCACTTCTACAAATGAACAAATGAAGGGAGATCTAGCAGAGAAAGTGACTTGCCCAAGAAAATGTAGCCCATTGGTCTGACATTCTGCTAACATTTCATCATAATTGATGGCTTTGGGACTTTTCCACGTCGTAAGTTTGCCCATAGTTACCACAAGTCACACATTTTCACATCCCACAAATGTACCACATACACAAAGTAAGGAAGCATGTTTTGTACTGCAGAAGTTTAGCCCCCCATCTTACAAGGCAAAAGAAAGCAAATACCAGAAGGAAGAGAGAAAGGGAGGAAGGGGAGGGAAAGAAGGAGGAAGGAGGAAGACTAGGTCCAGGACCCTGTTGCAGAATGACTGGAGGTAACACTTGCCAGGATAGAATCATAGCCTCCAGAGTGGGGGAGGGAAGGGGCAGGTAACAGATAGAAGAAGGTGAGAGTAAAGTAAAAAGCAAAAGAGTAGAAAAGAAAAGAAAAGAAAAGAAAAAAAAACATGCATTATTTCTAAGCTCTTTACTGGCATTTTAAGAAAACTAGTTCTGATATCAGAATGCCTCAGGTCAAATCCCAGTCTCGCCACTTGCCGTAAGACAGTTCCTTCAGTCTTTCTGTAATTCACCTGCTTCGTCTGTAGTGGGACCCACTACAGATAGGGAAATGCCTATGAAAGATGAAGGAGGAAAGAGTATAATACGCAGGGAGCCTTCTGTTGCAGTGCAGGCCAGACTGAAATGAAAGGAAAAGGGGAAGGAAATGTTGGGTGGAAAAGCCTCATTCTTTGCCTTTTGCCAAAACATCAAATGCATGCCAGGCCAAAGGGGAGTGTCCAAGCACCATTTTCCTGTTAGAGGCATCCTGGATTGGGCAGGCAGGCTCTAATACTTTATTGTCATCAGTCATTGACCTGGTGTGAGCTCCTCCAGGGGATCCACAAAAGTAGAAACCGGAGGATGTCAACCTGCCACAGTCCCCCTGCAGATTCTTTTGTAGGGAGATCTGTCTAGGCACCTCCATGGCTGTTTCTGGATTGTCATGGGAACAGTGCATAAGGCACGCATCTGGAGAGTTCTTAGTCAATGTTAGGTATTATTGCTGTTGTTATTATTTTTGCTATTAGAGGAAGAAATCTTTTTAAAGAAATTTTAAAGAAAAAACAAATTAAAAAAAAACAAAAACAAATGCATACATTTAAAGTAAAAGAAAGGGACAGGAATTGATTGAAATGTCTCCAAAATAGAAATTTAGCAAAATTCAACCCTTATTCACACCTTTTTCCTACATATCCTATAGGACTTTGTACAGGATGGTGTTTCGTCCTGAGACCATTTTTGTTCTGAGACAGTATGTGTGAGAGTAAAGAGCACAGACTCTGAAGCCAGGCTGGCTGACGTGGAATCCTGACTCTGCACTTGGCTAACTGGTGACCTTAGGCCAATTACTTGAACTTTCTGTGCCTCAGTCTCCTCACTGTAGAGAGGTGATGGTAATAACTATCTCCCAGGATTGTCTGGAGGTTTAAATGAATTCATGTTTGCAAAGGGCTTTAGAACAGTACTTGGCACCCAGCAAGCACCATATGTAAGCTCATTGTCGTTATTACCCCAAGTGAAAATAATTTCTAGGAGATCATCAAACCTCTCATTGACACTGGATAGGGACTGTCTCCCATGTTCATTTTACCTAATTAATCTCGATTACGGACTAGGAATGTCTACTTTTGAATTTGTTTACTACAGAGATTTTCCCTAGTCTCTGAATTAAATTTTTGTACATCAAATTTATTAAAATTTTGTTGCTGAAATTTGTTTCTATTTGTTTTGGTGTAATTTAACTCTTTAAAATTACATTACTTAAATATTTGATAAGTATGGCAGAGATATTTCTTCTTACATATGTTTTACATAATGAACTTTGGAATTTTCTTAATAACTATGATTTGGAAGTTCATTTAATACTATATAGATATATCCATTAAAGATATATAGATATGCCAAGCGAAGAAAAATTTAGGAAATAAATGCAAAATACTTTGCATAAGAAATACAAATATATTTATGATTCGGATTTTTAAAAACCATTTTAATGTAGTATGTTCTAGTCTTTTTTCTATGTATGTATGTTTCTATTTGTGTGCGCCTGAGTGGTGTGTGTGTCATTATAGGTATATAATTGGAATAATAGTGTGTATATAATTTTGTATTCTGCTTTTTGAAATTTTGCATAACGCTATGTCCTAAGCATATTCCTATCATTAAAACTGCTTCAAAACAGGATTTTAATGATGGTGTATTATTTCATAGCATGAATGTATCATAATTTAATTTATTCAACTTTCTAACATTGAGAAGTTACTCTCATAAATAATACTGTAATGGTCATGCTCATACTTTAACCATTTTCCCCATTTCTGATTATTTCTCTAGGTCAGGTATCCAGAATTTTACAGCTAGTTGCTTTTTATGAATAAAAATCTTATATGTCTTAATCATTCCTTATATAATGAAATTTAATTTCAAAATCGTGTGTTAAGTCATTTGTTAGAACTGATACTTTCTTCTTTCTTTATTTATTTTTTAAATTTTGTTTCAGTACCAGTAGAGTTAACATACAGTGCTATATTAGTTTCAGGTGTGCAATTTAGTGATTCCACAAACACACTTTCTTCTTTAATCATATGATGACATCTGAATTTGAACTGGAAATAAAAATAAAGCCAGCAATAAATACAAAGATTAAATGATTGTTAAACTCAATCAACCCATTTTATATTTAAAAACCAAAACTGTTCTTAGCTATAGTCATTTTAAGAGAGTAATTTTCAGTGTGATTTTGTTTTCTAGAACTGTTTTTCATACTGTTAACAATAATGGCAAAAATATGTAATGAGCCTTATTTGTTTCTCTTTGGGTGGCTCCCATTAAGTAGCAAGATTTATTCTTACCAGGAAGTAACTATTAAGTCTAATAATCCAAAATAGGAATTATTTTTTACAAAGAACTAAAAGACCAATTTTTCAGATTAAAATATCATAATAATGAGACACACTTCACATTTTAAAATACAACCCTGTTGTACTTTAAATAGGATATGCACTTTTCACTTTTCTAGTAGAGGTAATTTTTAATCCATCCACACTTTCTAACACAGTCGCTCTAGGTCAGATAACATGTATTTCAAGCCAAAGCTAGTAATGAAAACCGATCATAGAAAGTTATTTGTTATGCATAGATAAGAGATATGCCTAGGAATAACTCATCAGAGAATGGTTTCCTTTCATCTACCTAATCTGGTGCTTTGATGTGTGTTCTCTCAAATCAATTTCAGTTGTTAAAATGAAACCCAAGAAACTAGATGTTTGTAAACCAATTATTTTGTTAGCATAGGCATAAATCTGTAAGTTATATTTATAAAGTGATCCCTAGCATGATAATTAGATTTATAGAGAGATGACAAAAATTAGATCAAATATTAGAAGAAAAACATTTATTTTAACTGTAGGCTTCTGGTCAATAATATCGAAAACATTTTTAACAAGTAGAAGGAGTTTATAAGGTCTAAAATTAATCAATTCAGATTATTAGGAATGAAGCAAGTAAATTTTTCAATTAAAATATAAGTAACACCCCATAGCTTAGTTCCACATTGCTCTAAAAATCTTGGAAAGTATAGGGAAAGACTGGTGAAAATATAGCAGACGTAAAGGATAGTACCCTAATTCTGCTGTTAACTTTGATAAAATTTTAAAGTAATCGTACTCTTCTTTTTGGATTTTGTAGAAAAGGATCCATTAGATTAAATTGCAACCTCGTTGTCATAACATCAGTGAAGAACGACAACCCATAGGTTCCTCTTTCCTGTCTCATCTCTTGATATTGTGCATCTTGTTTCATAATGAGTTAATTGATTTAAATTTAATTTTTCTCTTTCCTTCCCTATGCCAGCCTGAAACCTTTGGCCTACAATCAGGAAGGGGGTGTGTTCCCTGCAATTGCAATTCCTTTGGGTCTAAATCATTTGACTGTGAAGAGAGTGGTCAGTGTTGGTGCCAGCCTGGAGTGACAGGAAAGAAATGTGACCGCTGTGCCCATGGCTATTTCAACTTCCAAGAAGGAGGCTGCACAGGTCTGTAAATAAGACTAAGCCCTACACATTCATTCTCTGGTTTTGGCATTTTGGCAACCATAGCAGTTCCTTCTTCTGCATTCCCAGGGTTGAAAGCATAGGCACCTTGACAATAAATATATGATCCAAAATATTTAAACTAATAAGTAATGTATATTTATTTTAAGTAAACTAACAAACAAAATATATCGCAGTGTGAAACATCACCCCATAAATAACTGCTTGCGAGTACTCAATGAAAAATCCATCAGCAGGTCCTAATTCTGCTGTGTCCCTTCCTGTGTGACTGCCAGTCCCTCACTCAAAGGCTACTGTAGCCTGAAAGTCAAATGTTCCGTTTTTCTTTTACCAGTGTTCTCTTAGTGTAAACTTCACTCTCAATACAGTTCAACATTCCCTTTTCCTATTGCAAAATTGGTACAAGGATCAGAGAAGTGAATACCATTTTCAGGTACAAAAAATATGTTGTCATCTATTTTCATGTGCCTTGAAAACTATGCTGTTCCAAGAAAGAAACAGATTTGCACTAGGTATTTGCTAGTTCTTGGGGAAATGCAGGAAGGTTTCTAACCATGATTTCCCACAAGCAGTGTCTCCATGTTCTTCCCACAAATCATGAATTAAGAAAATAAATAGGAATTAGCATACTGCAGATGAAAGTGAAGATTGAACACTAGCCTTGCTTTATATGCCACTAATTTGGAATTGACCCTTATTCCAACATTCACTATATTTAGTATCACCTTTGCTTACTAAACTCACTGATTCAACACTAATGATACTCCTCTACCTTCAGTACCATGATAAATACATGGTAAGATTTTAAAACATTATTATTGACTATTGTAGCAAATTTATGTAAGAAGTGGCAGGAATAAAATTTCAAATTGTTTTAAAAACAATACCTTTTAGATATTCTCAATCACTTTCAATATACACTTTGTATCATAAAGATACGCCATTATGTTATTCTGAAAGTTATAGATCTTCTAAGAATCTAAGTCAGTATCTATATATACTAAAAACTATAATGCTGCATTTTAAAATATGTTGTTCTTTTTTTTAAGATTTTATTTATTTATTTATTTATTTATTTATTTATTTATTTATTCATCTGAAAGAGAGAGAGCATGAGCAGGAGGAGGAGCAGAGGGGAAGGAAAATGGAGGGGGGAAAGAATCTCGGGCAGCCTCCGAGCTGAGCGCGGAGCCCGAGGCAGGGCTCGATCCCAGGACTCTGAGACCATGACCTCAGCGGAAACCAAGAGTGAGACATCCAACCAACTGAGCCAATGAGTCACCCCTAAAAGTTACTGTTCTTTAAATCCAACTCTTACTAACATGTTCAGTTGATGTGATTTAATGAAATGATACTGTGCATTCAAATACATTCACTACCAGAAATTTTAAGTTAAAAAAGAACATTATTCAAAATTATGAAATGGTGATAACATTAGAAATGCAAACTTAGTTAGCATTCAAATCCAGAGAAATAGGATAGAAAACAGCCCCAAACAGACGGGATAGCATTATGGTCGAGGGTATGACTTTCACAAAATAGCTTGGATCAGTTTAGGGGCTCCACGGGTAACTAGTTATGTGACCTTGACTGAGTGACTGGGTCTTGCTGTCTCTCTACAAAATTCATCTATTAAATCAAGAAAACAATGATATCTATCTCATGGTTTTTGTAAGAATTAGTTGAGTTAATGGCTATAAAATATTTAGAGTACTGCCTGGCATGTAGGCACCATGTAAGTGTTTATCACTATTATGATTATTATCAGTGTTTGTTAGTATTCTGAATTGTGGTAAACATTCTGTTTAGGCTGGGAAAAACTAGCTAATGATTGAAGTCTTTTCCCTACTCAGTTTTATGATTCCATTGAAGAACTGCTTAGAGAATTTCTACTTGCAAGTAACGACTCAAACCGTCCCAGGCCTTTTTTTAGCACATAAATTTGAACATAATGTGAACTATTTTTCTTCTTAATAAATGGTACATACAAAATAAATCCTTTGACTTAAAATTATCAACGACAATAATAATAACAAAAACAGCTAACCTTTATTTGGTCTTTATGGCCAATATTATACTAAACATTTTTCACAGCTGGTATGGAATGCTGTGAACAATGATAATTGTGATCCCTTAAAAATTGAACTTAATCAAACGCTCTAAATGTATTTCATTTAAAGATTTAATGATCGTATAACCGATGCAAAGGTTTCTTATAACATTAGTCTTCTGTCTGATTCAGAGTATCTGGTGGTGTTTCTCCCCGTGCTTTCACTTCAGTTTGAAACACTTCACTAAAACGTACTAACTGAGTCAACTACAGCTACGTATTAGCTATATTATTAGAGTCCATTGCTCATCTTAGATGACTTTGAAACGCCTCTGAAATAGTTTTTTTTTCAAATCTTATTTTCACATTCTTTGAGAATTTCTACTTATATATCATAGCTAAGAAAATGAAAAATATATTGAAAAGAATAGACAGGTGGTAAATAAAACTCAAAAATACCTTCGTATACACACACAAACACACATATACACACTGTTACATAACTCAGCTGTTTTAAATTTTTGCAGAACTGAAATATCCTGATGTATGGCAACTATACTGAATTTAAGAAGCCTGTTGAGCTTATTGGTTTTTATTGCAAAACAGAGTCATTAACAGGAAGGAAATATTAATCTATACAGCATAGAAAAATTAGTTATGAACTTAGAATAACTATGGAAACTAAATTTTGAACTTTATAGTACCTAGATACAGTTAGCATAGAATCTGAGTCCACTTTTTTCTTTAAACTTAGTTGAAAAACTAAAAATATTGTACCTTTTGAAATTATTAAAAGCAATGCAATAAAATTTTATCGATCAACTCCTCTGTGAAAAACACCTTACTGTGATATAAAAGATGAATGAGGTAAGTTTTCACTTTCAAGGATCCTTAACCATAATATGGAAAATAACACAAATCCCAATATAAATTCAGTACTCTCTATCAAATTTTTACTATTTTACAATTTTTTCCCTTTCCCCTGTGAAGCTTGTGACTGTTCCCATCTGGGAAATAACTGTGACCCAAAGACTGGTCAGTGCATTTGCCCTCCCAATACCATTGGAGAGAAATGTTCTAAATGTGCACCTAATACCTGGGGCCACAGCATCACCACTGGTTGTAAGGTGAGTTAATTGCTTTATTTTATCTGATCATGTTTTAAGAATTTTTTTTATTTTGTTAAAGCTTTCTAGCTGGAGAAATCAAAAGCCAATATTATATTAAAAATCAGTATAGAACTATCAGTATAGATTGACTGGAGATACTCATCATCATCTTACATTTTACTTGTGGGAAATAATGATGAAGTAAGTACACATTTACGTATCTTCATTCATGATAACTACAAAAACAGAGGAAAAATTATAATAAAACCAGAAACGGCAGCAACTTCATACTGAAACCCAGTGAAATATCTGCAAAGTACAAGGAAATTAGGAATTAACTAAAGCAATTTGCCAAAAATCTATAGTTATTGCCCCCAGATTATGACTAGGTTTCAGTTTTCAAGAAGCAGTTGAGAGGATTCTGTGGAGTTATATTAACAGCCGTTAGCCTGAAAGACTCCTTATTTTTCCCATGGGCATACCATAGAAACTGGCATGACCAAATTACATAACATATATTACATACATAATAGCTATTGCAGTTATATTGGTGAGAGGTGACAGAAGCGTGGACCCAGTCAGTGAGCCTCCACGAAGACAGAGGGACTGGGCTGTGTTACTGCTGGTATGGCTTGGTAAACTCATAGATTTGGAGGCTAAGAATGAGACATCTTAAGGATGAGTCCTGGGTTTCGCTTTTCAGGAAATTAGATGAGGGTATTATTTACTGCTAGGGGGATTAGAGAAGACTCAAGTTCAGGTAGGAAAGGTGACGAGGTCAGGATTTTTGTCAGTGTTTTGTGAGATATTAATTAAATAAAATACAATTCACTCACTTAAAGTGATGAGTTTTGACCAGTGATTACAGTTGTATAACTGCCTCTTATGCCCCCTTGTAGTCAACTTCCCCTCACCCCTCAATCAGCACCAGGAAACTACTGTTTCTCCTTCTATCACCGCAGTTATGTTTTTCTACAAATTCATATAAATCGAGCCATATTCCATGTTGTTGTTTGGGTTTTGTTTGTCTGTTTGGGGGATTATTTTTGGTCTGGCTTCCTTAGTGTAATGCCTTTGTGATTCATCCATACTGTTGCATATTATCAGTAGCTTGTTATTTTTAATTGTTTAATAATTTTACATTAACTGATATGCTGTGACTTGTTTGTTTATTTACCATTTAATGGGCATTTGGGTCGTTTCCAGTGGGGGGCTATTATGACTAATTTTGCTGTGAACACCAGTGTATAAGTCAAAGGCAGTTATAGATGTATGATTTCATTTCTCGTCACAAGCACACGCCACATCCTTCCTAACACTTCAGCTTCTGACCAATTTTAAGCATTCGGTTGGGTGTTTTTTTATATCTTTGCATTGCTTTAATGTCCAGTGATATTGGGAATAATTTTATTTATTTACCATTTATATATCTTCTTGGGTGAAGTGTCTATACAAATCTTTTCTATTTGGGGTTGTTAGTTTTCTCAGTAATGTGCTGCAAGTGTTCTTTATATATCCTAGATGCAAGTCTTTTAACATATATACGTTCTGTAACTGTTTTCTCCCACTATACAGCTTGCATTTTATTCCCTCTGTAGTATCGTCATCTAAGTTTTATAAAGACGGTTTTTATTATCTTTTCCTTTCATAGCATCCTTTTTATTTTCTAAGAAATACATATTTGCTTAAGTCAAGATCTAAAGATACCTCTCCTATGTATTCTTCAAGAAGTTTTATAGTTTTGGCTTTTACATTTAGGTCCACATTCCATTATCATTAATTTTTCTGTATGGTTTGAGATAATGGTCAAATTTCATTTTTTAATGGATATCCAATTTTTCCAACATCATTTTTGAAAAGATTGTTCTTCTTCCCCATTGAATTACTTTGGTCAAAATAAAATGACCTTATATGTCCCTCATACATTTCTGAACTCTATTCTGTTTCGTTGATCTATGTCTATCCTTGGACTAACACAGTACTGTCTTGATCCCTGCGGCTTTCTAGCATAGTGTTAAATCAGGTGGTGTCAACTCCAGTTGCTTTTCATTTCCAGTACCTTTTGGGTTCATTAGATCCTTTGCATTTCCATATAAATATTTAAAGCAGCTTATCAATTTCTTTATTAAAAGCCTTCTAGGATTTGATTGGGATTACATTGAATCTACAGGTCAATTTGGGAAAAATCAACATTTTCAGAATATTGCATCTTCCAATGTATGAATATGACATAATTTTTAATTTAGTTTTCTATAATTTTTTTTCTCAGCAATGTTTTACACTTTTTGGTGTGCAAGTCTTATACATGTTCTGTTAAATTTATCATTGTGTTTCATATTTTTTACAAAATGTTATTTGTTTCATTTCAATTTCCCATTGTTGCCAGCATAGAAAAATGCAATTATTTTTATGTATTAACTTTCTATACTGCAACCTTGCTAAGCTTACTCTGGTTACTTTTTGGTAGGTTCATTAGGATTTTCTATGTAGACAATCATACCATCTGCAAATTGAGTTTTACTTCTTCCCTTCCAATCTGTGTAACTTTTATTTCATTTTCTTGACCTATTGGAGTAAAATGTTGACTTGCAGTGCTGGGAGCAAATATCCTTGCCTTATTCCTTATGTGAAGTAGAAGGCATTCAGTCTTTTAAAATTCAGAATTTTGTTAGCTGTATTTTATTTACAGATGCTCTTTATCAGTTTGAGGATGTTCCTCATGTTCTTGGGTCTATTAAGTACTTTTATCAAGAATATATGTCCAATTTTGTCAAATTCGTTTTCTACATCTATTGAGATGATCATTTGATTTTTCTTTTTCGGCTGTTAATATGATAAATCATATTAATTCATTTTCAAATGTTGACCCAACTTTACAATCCTGAGAGAAGTCCTGCTTGATCATGAGGGATTGTCTACTTTAAATTATTTTAGATTATGTTTGCTAGCATTTTGTTAATGATCTCTGGTTCTCTGTTCATAAGGAATATTGGTTCATAGTTTGGGGGGTTTTTGGTAGTTTTATTATCTAGTTTTGTAATTGGGGTATTGCTAACTTCATGAAATAGATTGGGAAGTATTCCTTCCTCATAGTTTCTAAAGGAGTTTGCATAATCAATGAAAAACAATGAAAACAAAAATACTTTAGAAAAAAGACAATAGGCCAAAAAAATGGTTCTTTGAAATTATTAATAAAGTTGGTAATACTGTAAGAAGATTGATCAAGAAAATAAGAAGAGAGGAAAGAAATAATCAAAATCAGGAATAAAAGACGGGACATCATGGGGATCCTGAATATGTTAAAAGAATAATATGAAAATAATATGAGCAACTTTAATCAATGAATTTGATAACAAAAAATAACAGTTCCTTCAGTTTGTTTACTTTGAGTTTAATTTTCCCTTGTGTTCCAAGTTTCTTAAGATGAAAGCTTAGATCATTGACTTGAGATAGTTCTTCTTTACTAATATAAGCATTTCATGTTATAAATATCCCTCCAGGCACTAATTTAGTTGTATCGCACACATTTTGATATGTTGTTTAAATTTTCATTGTTAAAATCTTCGTATTTATTTTATTATTTGTGATACATTGATTATTTAGAAGTATATTGTATCTTTCTGTTATATCTGTATTATAATACATATAACATTTTGTATTGTTTCAGTTCTTTTGAATTTACAGATTTCTTTTATGTCTCATAATAGTGTCCATCTCGATTAATGTACTAGCAAACAATGCATATTCTGGTATCATTGGATGAAATCTTCTATAAAAGTCAGTTATCCCTAATGATTTTTATGCATACGTATTCTATCAATAACTGAGGGTGTTTATACTTACTATTTGTCTATTTTTTCTTTCAGTTCTCTCGGGTTTTGATTCATGTATTTTGGAGAGATAATGCTAGGTGTATACTCACTTAGGATTATTTTGTCTTTTTGAAAAGTTGATGCCTTTATTATATGAAATGTCCCTTTTTATCCTGGGTAATGTTTCTTCTTCTGAAGAATATGTTTTTCTGATAATCATATAGCCATGGTTTGATCTTTCTTTTGATTGCTATTTGTCTGGTTTACATTTTTCCACACTCTCATTAATTCCATCTCTTTTTAAATATTTTAATATGTTTCTTTTAGATAGAATATATTTAAATCTTTGTTGTTGCTCTGACCCTAATTGGATTATTTAACACATTTCCATTTAATGTAATTATCAGTATGATTGGGGTTAAGTCCACATTTTGCTGCTTGCTTTGCCTTATCTGCTCTTGCCTTCTTTTTTCTTCTTTTCTTGTCTTATTTTGGATTGAGTAATGTTTATAATTATATTTTATCTTCACATTTTACTTATTAACTATACCTATTTTATGTTTTTTGTCTTTGTCTAGGGATGTACATCTTAACTTTTCATAATGTATCTTAAAATAATAGTATACACTTTATATTAAGCATAGAGACCTTATAAGAGTACACTTCTAATTCCCTTTTTATCCTTGTCACTCCCTTTCTTGTCCTTTATGTTATTGTTGTCATACATTTTACTTCTGTATATTATATATCCTACAATATAATCTTGTGATTTTGATTTAAATAGTCAGTTATTTTAAATAGCCAGTTTAAACCAGGCAAAAATGCTGCTTTTCTGTTTTTCCACACATGTATCAATTCCCATGCTCTACATTCCTTTGTGTACAAATTTCTGTTTCATATCTTGTTTCTTTTTCCATTAGATACATCGCTAATTATTACTATTGTTATTTCTAGTATTTCAGGTCTACTGACAATGATTCTTTCGATTTTGTATGTTCAAAAACAGTATTTTTCCATCAGTTTTCAAAAAGATATTTTTTCTAGGTATAAAATCCTAAATCCTGATTTTTAACAATTTGATTATGCTATCTTTTTATGGTTTTCTTGTTTATTTCTCATGCGGTGAGTTAGGCCTTTTGGATCTGTGGGACCACAGTTTTTATTAAATTTGGAAAATTTCCAGCCACTACTTCTTCAAACACTTTT